CTAAATAAATATAGATGCTAAAAGCAGAGTGGTTAGCCGAAGAAGAATCGCACCCACAACAGACAATACAGAGGTTATGTCTGCAGAAGATTAGAGCAGAGGTCGCCTCCCTGAGTTATCTTTTCAAAGTTCCCTCCACTCAGCTCAGAGACATGGAAGGCATTCAAAGCATCTTAACTTCAAAGCTGCTGACATTATTCTTCACAACCTTGCTTTTGTGTCTCGAGCTTACCCAGTGTAGCGTAACTTACGATAGAAAGGCCATCGTCATCAATGGCCAGAGGAAAATTCTCATATCTGGTTCCATCCACTATCCCAGAAGCACTCCACAAGTATGCCTTCTTTTTGCCTGCTTTCTTCTAATTTGTGTTATCATTTACTGATAATTGGCGTCGATGAGCTTTTTGCGTCTGTAATGCGCGGTGCTGCAGATGTGGGAGGGTCTTATCCAGAAGGCTAAAGATGGAGGCCTAGATGTCATTGACACTTATGTCTTCTGGAATGTCCACGAACCATCTCCTGGCAAAGTACTCCTCTGCATACGTTTTCAATTCATTTTCTCGAATTAAATCAAACCAGACATTTCTCCCATGTACTTTTGAGTTGTTTCTTATTTTTCTGCTGTCGGTTTGCAGTACAACTTTGAAGGGAGATACGATCTGGTGCAGTTCATTAAGACAGTGCAGAATATGGGGCTTTATGTTCATCTTCGCATTGGGCCTTATGTTTGCGCAGAGTGGAACTATGGGTACACGCACTTCCAAGTTTTTAATTCTTGTTTAGTCCTTTGGTATGAATGGTTTTAGCGATCCTCATTGTTCGTATGGTGTAGTGGATTTCCTGTATGGTTGAAGTATGTTCCCGGCATCAGCTTCAGAACAGACAACGGGCCCTTCAAGGTTGAAATCGAGTCTCATTCACATCCTGTTTCTCACTTCTCTTCACTTAACTGACCCTTCAATTGTCTCACTCTGTCTTCATCTTTTAGTCGGCAATGCGTGGCTTCACCCAGAAAATTGTCCAGATGATGAAAAATGAAAAGCTGTATCAAACTCAGGGGGGTCCAATCATTCTTTCTCAGGTATAGGCGGCTCCTGTAATATACTGCGCAACTCAAGTCTTTGTTCAACTATCGTCTGCAACACACCAATTCCTAATTGAAATATCTTTTTTTTTTCTTATGGATTTTTTTATATTGCTTCATAGATTGAGAACGAGTATGGACCAGAAAGCAGGGAACTGGGAGCTGCTGGGCGTGCATACATAAAATGGGCAGCAAATATGGCAGTTGGATTGGGTACTGGAGTTCCATGGGTGATGTGCAAGGAAGATGACGCCCCGGATCCCGTGGTGAGTCATCTCATTTACCTCTCACCCACCTTCAAATATGTATTTTCACCGGGTGCTTCATATTATCCGTTTAATTCTTCATGACAGATAAATGCATGTAATGGCTTTTACTGTGATTATTTCTCTCCTAATAAACCGTACAAGCCTACCCTATGGACTGATCTTGGAGTGGCTGGTAAGCTTAATGTCACACCTGAAAGCTACTTAAATAACTGTAAGTTCGGCTCTTTGCATCCTCAACTTCGATTCTTCTTTTCTCCTTCCCGCTTTCCCCTTGTTCATTAGGTTCTCAGAATTTGGTGGCCCAAATCATCAGCGACCAGTTGAAGATCTAGCTTTTGCGGTTGCTCGATTCATACAAAAGGGTGGCTCATATGTCAATTATTACATGGTTAGTCTGATATGCTATTTATCAAAATAACGTGCGACGTGCCTTGGTAATGAAAACTCAATGGGTGCTCTTAATGTATTAGTATTCTAAACTCAATGGTTATGATGAAAAATTTGCGTTTGACCTATGTAATTAATGACGAAATACAGTACCATGGAGGAACTAACTTTGGACGCTCTGCTGGAGGCCCATTCATTACTACAAGTTATGACTATGATGCTCCAATTGATGAATATGGTGAGATAGCTATTCTTGAATATTGTTTTTCATCACCGAAAGATTCTTTGATTATTTTTATTTCTCTAGCAGTTTACTTTAACCAGTAAGAGTTGAGCAATTTCTGTGTGACAGGTTTAATCAGGGAACCCAAATATAGTCATCTGAAAGAGCTTCATAAAGCTATCAAGCAATGCGAATCTGCTTTGGTGTCTTCGGATCCTACCACATCATCACTAGGAACGTATCAGCAGGTCAGTTGTTTGTGACGTGAAGCACTACATTACCTTTTTCTAGTTACAAAAATAAGTGGCAAACCAACCTTACTTGTAACTGTACGGGTCTTGGAAATTTCAGGCTCATGTATTCTCTTCAGGGACCGGAGCATGTGCAGCTTTTCTTGCAAACTATCATTCAAAGTCTTCTGCTAGAGTGACATTCAATAACAATCACTATGATTTGCCTCCTTGGTCCATAAGTATACTCCCTGATTGCGTAAATGCCGTATTTAATACGGCTAATGTAAGTGTATTTCAAGGGTCTTCTTGTGCAATCCTGATCTCGCAAAACAAGTTTTTATCAGTATACCTATTATTATGTCAAGTTGTTGAGTAGACCGTCATGTTTTTCATGAAGGTGAGAGTTCAAACATCACAAACGCAAATAGTGCCTACGAAGTCAAAGTTGTTCTCATGGGAGACCTACGATGAAGATCTATCTTCTCTGGCTGAAAGTTCGGGGATTACTGCGGCTGGGCTCTTGGAACAAATAAACGTCACCAGAGATACCAGTGACTATCTATGGTACATTACAAGGTGAGGAGCCCTATAATCTGCATAAACGTTAATTACTCAAGTATTAGTAATTTTGTTGAGGATAGGAAAGCTAGGAAGCATGGACCCGGGACCCGGCACGAGACATGATGATAGATGTGACAAAATATGAAGCATCATATGGAATTTGGAATTGTCACGTTCTGTGATACATATATTTGCACTTCATAACATAAATGCTAGCTCGATGTTAAATGCATTGCTTAATCCTAGGAGGGACTGCCTTGACATTTTCGTATCGGATTTTTTTTAATGAATTTAGTTGTCAGACAGAACGTTCCTATGCCTCACGAGCCATCGTAAACTTAATTGTTTTCTGGTTTTCTTGCCACAGTATTGAAATCAGCTCATCGGAATCGTTTCTACAAGGAGGGCAGAAACCCAGTATCATCGTACAGTCATCAGGCCATGCCGTGCATGTTTTCGTTAATGGCAATTTTCAGGTAATTAGTTTAAGTTGAACTCAGCAGTTCTGATCTTCGTACATCAAATAAATCAATAAAAAAAAAAACAAAGATGTTAGACAATGTCTTTTGCAGGGTCTGCTTTTGGGACGAGGGAACAAACTAGTTGCAAATTTAATGGTCCGGTCAATTTACGTGTTGGAACTAATAAAATTGCCCTTCTCAGCGTGGCTGTTGGATTACCGGTTAGTTAATCAGTACATCGCAATGCGCTGCTTTTGTGAGAATCATGGTGGAATCGACATTCGCAATGTCAGTCACTGATTGCTTCCCTTTTTCTTTTTCTGTCTCCATTGAAAGAATGTCGGCCTTCATTTCGAAACATGGAAGACAGGGATCAATGGTCCAGTTTTGCTTCAGGGTCTTGACCAGGGAACCAAAGATTTAACGTGGCAGCAATGGTCTTACCAGGTCCCATATGCACATAAATATTGATCATCCAGCCTTCAATTAACAAATTATTCTTTATTTTGTTTAACATAATCATGGTAATTTGTCGAACAGATTGGGCTAAAAGGAGAGGCTATGAATTTGGTGTCTCCTAATGGGGTCTCATCTGTTGACTGGGTACGACAGTCACTAGCTGCCCAAAGCCAGCAGCAACTTAAATGGCATAAGGTAAGAACAGTTATTGGGCTACAACAAGAACACCAACAGTGACTAACAGCAAAGTTGAAGCGTTGCAGGCTTATTTTGACGCACCTGAAGGAGATGAAGCATTGGCCTTGGACATGGGGAGCATGGGAAAGGGTCAAGTATGGATCAACGGCGAGAGCATAGGAAGGTATTGGCTGGCTTATGCAATAGGTGATTGCAACTCTTGCTCCCATTCTGGCACCTTCCGGCCCAGTAATTGCCAACTTGGCTGTGGACTACCCACCCAGCGATGGTACTTTTACTATTCTGTTCTCTGAGTGTTAATTTTCTCCATTACTCCCATATCTCCTCTTGTTTGAATCTATCCTCTTTCTATGGATGCTTGATATCAGATGAGTAGAGATATTTCCCGTTTAATTCTGTGAGGGGATGCAATTTTGCAGGTATCACGTCCCCAGATCTTGGTTAAAGCCAACCAACAACTTGATTGTTATTTTTGAAGAATTAGGTGGGGATCCTTGGAAAATATCTCTTGTAAAGAGAACCTTGAATACACCTGCAGTTTCTGAACCCAAATCAAAGAATTGAAAAAAAAAAAAAATGAAGCATGGGTAAGCAGAATTGCATTGTCTCCTTGTGAAAATTCTTGGTTCATTGTGACTGATTCGTGGTAAAAGAATGGTTTTTGCTTTTCAGTATACATGCAGCAAAATTTGAGTCATGACTTGGCAGTTGTTACCAACAAGATTCAGTGAAATTTGAAATGGTCCCTAAATGGCTAAATCTGCGATGTTGTATGAGATGGCTAAATCTACAAAATCGCTTTATGAGTTTTATTCTTCCAAGAATGAAGAGCATTCGCCGTCTGGAAGAGTTACCTTCTCTGGGGGAATGCCATGTTTTACTTTCAACTAATGTCGTTAAGAAGAGTTCATAACGACATTGAAATCATGTAAATTGACCAGGACTACTCGAACTCTAAACTGATAGCGATTGGTTGTTCAGCGATTTGATTTAGATTAGTCTGGACGTTCTAATGAACTCACTTTAGTTGATGATAAACAAGAATCTATGCAGTATATATATCTATGATAACGATCGGGCGGGTCTGCTGTCTGCTCGTCAGAGAGTATTGATGCTCAAGTCACGTGGGGAGCGTGGCATAAAATGGAAAGGCATGAACACTATAGGAATTTCGAGATTCAAAATCAAACCTCACGCAAAAAGGTTGGGCTATTTAGTATTTACTGGCCGTGTGCTTTAGGTTCTATGGCATCCCAATTTCCGACAAGATGAGGCGTGGGAGACCAATGCTTGCTTCTTTATGTTCAAACTAGGTCCATCCATTACTAGCTCAACATACACGTTCGGTTTATTCCATTCCACCTTACAACTTTTGCTATACGAGCACATCATGCGTGGCCTTCTTCCCGCTAATTCCTAATTCGGATTCCTAGTAATTCCTATTCCTAGGTATTTACAAAAGCAAGGAAGCTCGCTTCTTGAAACTTGAAAGGTGGCCTGAAAAATGTTCACCCTCTAGCTCTCCTTTCTTTTTCGTCTTTCCACGACAACTATGGTATGAAAAATATCTGCTTGAGATCTTTTCCGTCCATGACAATGATTAAAGGGGTCATTGTCGCCCCTCTGCCACCACATTATTGTTTATTATTGATTTTATTTTCAAATTGCCTTGGAAATTTAAAGGAAAAGATTAGCCAGTGACTTAGAATTTGATGGCACGTGGAAAGCCCAAGACCACATGTAAGCACACTCGTTGCACTCCTTCTTACCTTATCGTCCACAGAGCATGGGCTAGGGCGCCAAGCCACGAGATTGTGGAAAATCTGAAGGATAATTGAAAACCAGAAATTGGAGTCAGTGGGAAATCGCAGTTTCCGACTCCGTACACAGCTAACACATTCGCTCGTTCATGTCTTCCTCATAATCTTTTCTTCTTTCCCCCGATAAAGAAACAAACCCGGAAGCGCCTTCTCACTTTACTTGGAATGACGCAAATGGCATTCCCCCAACTCATCCCCTCTGCTTCTTCTTCCTCGTCCTTGAACCCAAATAAATTTCCCTACTCTTCCAATCCTAATCTTAATTTCCCTTCGCAGCCACTTCTTTGCTGCCGCCTCCCCCTCTTCCGTCGCCGCCGGAGGCATGATTCCCTTCGGTGCTCTGCCTCGTCTTTCTCCGAGAAGCACCACACCAACTCCCCCAAATCCGACGACCTAGTCGAACTCCCTCTTTTCCCTCTTCCCCTTGTCCTCTTTCCCGGCGCTATCCTTCCTTTGCAAATCTTTGAGTTTCGCTACCGCATAATGATGCACACTCTCCTTCAGACCGATCTCCGTTTCGGGGTTATCTACTCTGACGCTCTTTCCGGCGCAGCCGATGTTGGCTGCGTCGGTGAAGTTGTCAAGCACGAGTGCCTCGTCGATGACCGTTTCTTCTTGATTTGTAAAGGCCAGGAGCGGTTCCGCGTCGCCAACCTCGTCCGCACCAAGCCCTACCTGGTCGCTCAAGTGACTTGGCTCGAGGATAGGCCCTCAGCGAATGGCGAAGAGGACCTTGGCGGTTTGGCCAATGAGGTGGAGGCCTATATGAAGGATGTCATTCGGTTATCCAATCGATTGGGAGGAAAACCGGAGAAGGACGTGGGGGATTTGAGAAGGAACCTCTTTCCCACGCCCTTTTCATTCTTTGTTGGCAGCACATTCGAGGGCGCGCCTAGAGAGCAACAAGCTTTGCTTGAATTAGAGGACACTGCCACAAGATTGAAGAGGGAGAAGGAAACTTTAAGAAACACGCTTAACTACTTGACTGCTGCCTCAGCTGTTAAAGATGTCTTTCCTTCTTCTTAGTAGAGGTTGAAATTTCAAAATAGAAGAGGAAAGTGGATAGTAAATTTGCTAAATGAAGCATATTTAAGGGCAACGAGGAGGTACTTTTCCATACTCTTGCTCTTTTGTAATTACCCTGGCAGGGTTTGGGGAAGTTGTAAATTTTGGTGTATGATTGGACATGCTAAATCTTAATTGTAGCCTGAAGTTGCCTATTATTTGATTTTGTGATAATGCAGTCTGTATACACGATTCGATTTGGGAAAAAGAAGTATTGAACGTTGCCAGGGGGGTCTTTATTTTGGTTTTGTGACTACTGTACTGATCCTTCTGGCTTGAAAACGAAGTGATACCTAGGGTGGTTTTGCATTATTCAATTGGCATGGTCGGTGGTTATTGGTACACATTTCATGTTTTTAAACTCAAGGAATGATAAATAAGAATTAAGAAGTAACTCATAAGTTATCAATGAATAATTGCATTATTTGAAATGCCAGTTGAGCTTGTTGATCAGACTTGTAGGATGACCACTGTAACATATTCCTGTCTGTTTCTGACTTGTGATTCCTTTGTGAGAGCCGGAACCGGAAGCATTGTGTAATAGGGTAGCTTTCCTTAAAACGAAACAAAAAAAAAAAAAAAAAGTGATTAAGAATGGACTCAAGTTAATACATTTGAATTTTTTAACCTATGTAGTGGCTTTTTCGCTTATATGCAGTTGCATTTGTTCATCGATTGCCCAGGGTATTACCGTCATTTTTGTTCCTGCCTTTTTGAAGTCTACTTGCTGAATGCATTGACTGGATGTTTTTGTTGCTCCCGAACCACACAGATTTCTGCATATTCTTTATAAGACGATCAGACGTGAAAGTTGAGATTCTCTTTCTTTACCACCTTGTTATTAATTACTCCCCCCCCCCCCCCAAAATATATATATATTTGAATAGGATAAGACAAAGACGTAGACCTAGTTAATATTTCTACTTGCTAGTGTGTTTTTGTAAAAATTTCTCGGCTAGTCTAGTGTTCCTAGCCATGTTGATCTTCAGAAGCTTACAAAGAGATGAATAACAACTCTTCCTGAAGAATGATCGCATTATGTCTTGGACAAAGTTAGACATAAATTAGAAGTTTGAGCGCGTATAAATAACGAGGACACGGTTTGTAATGGGAGGCGCTTGTTAAATTCAATAAAATGTACAAATGCTGAATTGAAACAGAGTAAAATCTTTAAGATTGTGAACAAAGCCGACCATGTCCCATTTTATAGCTTTCCCAGTAGCGGTACACTTTCTCCACCAAGTTACTTTCTTTATCCCTTCATGTTGAGTTGTTGACATTTATGTCATATCTTAGCTCTGAAGATTGTGTTCTTATTTAACTAGCCTTCGAGGTCACATGTCGTATGGATCCACATTCTCCTATTTTATTGTTATTTGTTACGTGACTGTTGGATCAACAACTGGTGGTTGTGGCCTAGACAGGCCCTTCACATTATTTGATATGTTGTGGCTCGCTTTCCTTGACTGATTTCTTCAGCTGACCATTTCCTTTGCTGTTGTTGAACAACTTGTATTTTTTTATGCTAACATTACCTTTAGTTGCTGTTAATGAATATGATTCGCCTTGAAGTATGGTTGCCTGGACGGCCTTTTTAAAATATTTTGTAGCTTATATTTTTTGGTGGAAAATATTTGAAAAAATTGGTGAAAATGACCTAGTTGAAAAAGAAATTGTGTCTAAGGATCACGATGATTTCAAGGGCCAAACTAAATATTTTATTCATTAAACAATTTAAACAAATGACCAAAATGCCCCTTTGTTTAAGCCAACAAAATTGAAAAAAAAAGGGGTTGCTTGTTCAACACATGCACCTCAAACCAGATGCTTTACATCTCGAGTTAGAAACCTTACACTCATGATAATAAAATTTACAACTTACTTTTTTAGCTTTTGTCATGGGATGCATGACTTCTACCTAAGGTGCAAAGCTTCTGGTTTGGGATGCAAGGCCTTTGGCTTGGGGTGCACGTGTTGAATAGGTAGTCTTTTTTTTTTTTTTTCCTTTCAATTTCATTGGTTTCAGTCATTTGTTTAAAATTGTTTAATAAATAAAATTTTCAACTTGGTCCTTGAGCATAATTTTTTTTTTTCAACTAGGTTTTTTTTTTTACCAATTTTTTCAAAATATTTTGTTGCTTTGTTAGCAAGGTTGTCAAATTTGGAGTTCAAGCAAACTATTGACAAGGGGTGAAATCCTTAGGTAAGTGAAGATAAAGATCTCATAAGAATAAAAGGTCAGAGAATCAGGACGTTTTCAGACTTCCAACAAACTGAAGTCAGGAGCAAATTTGCTTAGAGCGTGCTAGTTTACCCAAGTTTGCTGCAAATCCATATGATTCCAAATTTGTCACCGAGGTAACCAGTTTGCCTGACTTAGGCATGTATCATGCCCAGTTAACTTGTGAATTTAACAAAACTTGTTAGTTTTGGAGTATTGAGATAATGTTTAGTCGATGGCTTATCATTTTGCAAGGCTGCTAAAATCAAAGTGAAATTAATTGCTTTTCATTTTCGAGGAATGTGTAATGAATCACGTTTATGAAATGAAGAATTTAGTAGTGCAGCTTGAGCTACTGTGGTAAATCCATCGAGTACGAGAAAGAGTGTATTTTGCTTAAGTTCACAGGTTAATTAGAAGTTTCGCTATTGGTAAAATCTTGCTCAGCGGTTGTCCTTTTTTAAAAAAATAATAATAATCGCTCAGTGGCCGTTTTCATGTTCTGGACTAGTTTCTTTTTTTTTGGGCCAGATTCTGGACTAGTTTCTTGTTGTGCCCATGATCTTAGAGTATCAAAGTGCACAGCTTCTTGAGTTTGATAGGCACTAGAAGTCGTGTTAATAGGAGTGTGGTCTTTTTTTTTTGGGCCAACGAGAGGAGTATGGTCGAAGTTCTGTTGAGGGTGGTTTGCTTCTCAACAGTTTAGGGTATGTTTGGTTAACATGGTTGGGATGTTAAGAGCTTATTTGATCTTGTTTGAATATTAAAAAAAGAGAAGTGAACTCGCGTTCAGGGGTAGAAGAGCATTTTCAGTGAAGCCACTTGAGGGAACTTTTTATCGAGCGTATAGATATGGCTTAAATTTTTTATCATACTTCTCTCTCTTCATTTGTCTTCCTCGAGTGCCCGATCTGTTGCTCTGCCTTTAGATGTTCACGAGTCTGAGCTCTTCACCTCCTTGTCGACCCAGATTTGATCGAAGGTTATGCTCATCGTCGTTGTTGCCATCCGATCTTTTGTCAACTGTGTCTCAGTGTCTCGTCGGTGCCTAGCGTGTCTTAGTTTGCTCACCTCGTCCCTTCTTTCTTCTTGCATCGTTGTTGAGCACAATGCCGGCATAAATATCTTCCGGACGTTGGCCTAAATCTAGGCTCTTCTTCGGTTACTAATAGCGGCATGGAATGAAGGCAACAAATGATTTTCCGGTGAGGGGTTGAGAAAGAATGCAGAAAGGAAGTATTGAGAAGGTGAGCCATTGGCGGAAGGATTGGGGAAGCTTAGTCGCTGAAACAAGGCCAAACCAAAATATTCAATGATAAAATTTTATATTATATTATAATTATAATTAGTCACATGTCGTTATTCATTGCTTTCCCTGAGTTAAACAATTGGGAAACAAAAGCGAAACGTTTGCTTTGATTGATTATAATTTTCTAGTTATTTTTTAAAATTAAAAAAATTCTAATAATTTTTTTTATTTATCAATGTATTTTATATTTGTAATCTGCTATTTTAAAAAATTATAATTTTAAGTGAGATATTTTTTTAAAAAAAATATCAAATTTATCACAAAAATATATACAAGAAAATTCACGTGCATTTTTACCATTATATTTTTCAATTAATTTTTGCATTAAATCATTTAAATGAATTTTAATTTGTTTAATTGATTTGTTAAAAAAAATATACAAATGCAAATTAATATATATTTACATACTTTTTTATAGTCGGTAATTTGTATCAAACTTGATAGGTCAATTTGAACTCATTTAAAAAATCTAAAACCAAACTCAAAAATAACTCTTTAATGTTTAGGCTTATTCGTGGGCTATATAGGCTTGAGAAAATTTGAAAATACTCAAATAAAAAATAATTTTTTTAAAATATATAAAATATAATAAATGTTAATTAATTATTTAAGTTTTATATCACTTTATATTAGAATATCATATATTTGAGTGCATTACTTTATTTATTTTTTAAAAAAAATTAAAAATATTTACATTTTCATATTTTTATTATTTTTAATCAATAAAATATCTTAAAATAATGTTTCAAATATATTTTAATATTAATTTTTTATATTTTAAGACCTATTTTTTAAAAAAAGTTGAGTCCTATACATGATTTTTGTATCCAAAAAATTATTCCTTCCATTGAAAAAGGTAAGGCATTTTTTAAAGGGTTGGATGTTCGAAAATATAAGACATTTTTAATCTTTCGAGGTAATTATTACTTTTTTTTCAAAAGTACTCATATTAATAATAACTTTATATTTATTGTAGGGTGTTTAATAAGAATAAATGTGAAAAGATATGGTTAGTTTTGAAAATAGGTAACTACTTTATTTAAAAATGAGATTCAGTTAAAAATGCCTTATATTATTAAACGGATGGAGTATATTTTATATTTTTTGTAAAATAAGATGATTAATTCTAAAGTGAAAATAAAATTAAAAATAAATTTTTAAAAAATTAAGACATGTACAAATTTTTAGCTCTACTACTAAATAAACATAATAAATAGAATAATATTTTTAAATAATTATTTAGTTATTATCCACAATAGATTTAGTTAAAAATTAAAAAAAAAACTAGAGCAAATGCCTCTTGCATGTAGGGGTTAAACAATATAAAAAGGTAAAAAATAAAATAATTCTAAAAAAATAATATTTTATTAATAATTAAATGATTTTATTTTATATAACATAATGATGACTATTTTTTTCATATTCTTAAAAATGAAAATTATAATTTACCTAAAAGTTATTAAAAATTTTGAACTAATTAAGGTGGTGATTTTAAGTTAGTAGTTTAACCGTGATTAAATTACAATTAACTTGATCATAATTAAAAAATATAATTTAATTAAAATATATAAAATATTTATATATAATCATGATAAGAATAATATTTAAACAACTACAATATTAATTTACAAGTAAAGAAAACATTCATAAATAAATTACATATATTACAACAACAAAATAATAGAACTACTTAAGTATAAAGTTGTTAAGTTATTATTTAATATTTTATTCTTTTAAAATTAAAATAATATTTTATACTTAATAGAATTATTTAAAAATTAAAATTGTTTCAAAAAGAAAAGAAAAGAAATATTTTTCAAAAATTTCTAGTATTCAAGCCGACCCGAATAAGCTTGAAGCCCGAAGGTATTAGGGCCGGGTTTGATTATATGAATTTTTTAGAAAGAATATAATATTTTAAGTTTGATCTGAATAAGCCTGACTTACCTGAATTATCAACTTTACTTTTCTTCTAACCTCAATTTGTTAGTCTCAATAAAGTTTTAACTAGTGTTTTTAAAATCAAATCAGACCGAACAGTCAGACCAGTCCAACCATCGATCAGTCTAGTTCATAGAAAAAAGTCATTTTAGGGGTTGAGCCGTTTTGAACCGGTGATCGGATCGGGAACCGAAATCAAGTTGGGAACTGGATTCAGTTTTCAAAAATAAGATTGTTCAAAAAAAACTTTTTTTATTTTTTATCAAATTTTTAAAAAAATGATTAATTTTTTTAATCATTTGATATTATGTTGTATCATGTGGCTTGTTAAGTCATGATAAACTTAAAATATTTAATTTTTTAAAGTTAAATAACAATTTCATATGTATTTCTTATATTTAGATTATTATATATATATATATATATAATTTTTTTTTAATTTAATTATTACGTCACCGATTGGACCATTGATCCAATCCGATTGAACCATACGAATCATGAACTGCTGACTTTTCTGATTCAATGTCCAATCTGATTTTTAAAATATTAATCTTAACATCAGTTATAAATTTTTTAATTCAAACACATATTTTAGTTTCACTGGTTTGGGTATTGCCTGAACTTTTTGGACTGTAATGAAATCGAGTGCAGTTCATTGACAGCATGCTCTTGAAATGAAAATGGTGTATGTGGATAATGCTCTGATTCTGCTGACGAAAGCTGCATGATCAATGAAGCATGATGTTATTTGAACTGACAAATTAAGGACAATGTGTTGATTGACATATGGATGAACTAATATTTAGTTAGGCAACGGAACAAAGGCCAGGCAGAATTGGCTACTATGGACTGGAAACACGCCAAGCGAAACTATTAGGGGGGTTATAAAGCTGCGAGTTATTAGTGAGAATGGACTGATACAGGCCTCTAACATTTAGGCAGGTCACGGCAGAAATTGTCTGGACTCAGATTTTTGTCTGGACTCAGATGACACCTTTCCTGAGGAAAAAATGCAAGACCGCAAGATGTAGCGAAGTTAGTTCCACGAACGTTCAAACAGTCAGTGTATATATTATTATATATTTATACACGATATAAAATTTACAAAAAATATCTGTTATGAAATAAGTAAAGATTTAGAAGAAGGGAAGAGAAAATATTAGAAGGAGAATATTCAGAGTGATAGAAGAAGTAGTTTTCATCATAAAATACAACTAATATGCCTTCTATTTATATATACAAATTTATTGATTAAATAAAATATATAAGATAATAATAATTCATAGATATTATGGTAATTGAAAGATATGATGAGATAATGGGTATTTATATAATATCCTAATATTCATAATGCTCTCTTATAAATGTCTAGATATTGTGCCTCATAAAAACCCTGCTAAAAGAAATTCAATAGGACAAAAAACTCAATGACAAAACATATACAATATCTTTATATTTATAAAAGCTGCTTCATTACAAATTTTATCAAGAAAACCTAGTGAGACAAGACTTTAGTTGTGTGAGAGAGAGAGAGTGCGATATAATTTTTACTTCTCTTGATGACGATATCATTAATTGTTCTTAAATCTTCTTAAGTTCTTGTACCATTAACTCATGCATGTGTTAATTCTTGAATATTATTATTGCAAACACCTTTGCATTTGCGAGTTAATTTTGTATCACGATTGAACGAAACAAGAATCATTACCCTCATATGATATTTTGACATGTCTTCTCTATATATATATATCTTCCAAATATAAATACATTTTTCACTTGTCATACATTTCATGGAAGTAACAAAGCAATCTTGATAAACATATATTTTCATAAATAAATAGTCTCTTTAAGGTTAATTCGTGTGATTCAAACTAATTTTGGTTAACATATTTGCATATATGCATAATCAATTAACTTTGCTCCTAAATAAGTTTAACAAAGCAACCATACATATTATTAATTAATTCTTCAAACACATCATATCAAATATATAACTTCATTACAAATCAATGTAATATTATTTCATTACAAATTAATGCAATATTACACATTCTTTCATTTAGTTGCAATGCTGCTGTGACGGGAATGGATTGCTTTTTGTCTCTCACTAAAAAATTTGGCTCCGTGCTCTTGCTTGTTCACTCTCATTGTCTACATGATAGGCACCTGCATAAAAGTTGATGGCTGAAGGTCAGGAAAAAAACATTGAAAAGTATAATACAGCAAAGGATATAATTCTTAAAATAGAGTAAACAAGATATTGCTTTTCACGCCACGAGTAGCAATTATAATATTATATTATAGCATACCGCAATAACCTGGCAATTTCTTATTCCCCAGTTTTCTGTGGAGGCAGTATAAATTGTCCAGTCCTAAGTTACTCCAGTAATGATTAACAAGACTAATTCACAGGCAAACATTAGGGAGCCTGCCATGCTTCCTAACGAACCCTAAGCTTTCAATGTTAAAATTAGTGGGGCACATTCTCACAAAAGGGCTAAAGATGGTTATGCATCCCTTTTACCTTCCTTCGACGGTGCCGATTGAGTCATGGCGAGCATGGCCGTCATTTGTGCACGAATCAGAGCAGACTGATTCTTTTTACAGCTTCAATTGCCTAATCTGTTCCGTTTTCGCTTAGGGGGGCATCTACACAACTTGTGAATAAATTCTTTTTATTCCATAATGATTCACCATGCCGAATGAGGATCAATGCTGCTTCATCTGACATGAAGCAAACTGAACATCAGTTAAAAAGATCCAACAAGGATAACTTCAACTCCTTGACCATCATAATCACGTGAAGCTTACAAGTGAATCCGACTTCATGATCCAACCAGCATGAATGGTTTTCATACAGAAGGATGAAAACAATATAAACAAATACAAAAAACTCTTTAAGCAAAAAATGTCAATTCACAGTAGATTTTCTTTTATTGATTTCGTGGAACTGTCGCTGGTGGTGCTTCTTGAAGGGGATAACACTGGATCAACCACTGACGTTTGAGAAGCTGAACCAGAAGATCGAATAATGCAACAATCCCTCCGGACAGCTCTCCTTGACAAACTATTTAGCTGCTCAAATCCTTTGCTAACAATCTTATAGAGTTCTTCTGAAAATTTTTGCGATTTTTGGAATTGTTGAGAAGCGACTCAGACTGAAAAGTACCAATAGCCTGGTGATAGACATTAGCAGCCATCCCCCGAAGATTGGAAAAACAAGGCAATGCCAATTAGCGCTTGAATTCTGACGAAGGGCATTCATGTGTCATCCTAGATTTATTTAATTTGTCTAGAGTCTCAAGATATACCCTTAAAAGTTCAAATCACGGATGGAATAACATAACAAACTCGTGCGCTCTTGGAAAACCATTCAAATGCCCAAAACAAAGAATCAAAGATCATGCGATCCGGTATATGGTTGCTGGCATATTTAAACCTGGCCCGCGATTTACATATAACTTGAAATTACTCAAACAATGTAGAGGAGGAAAAGAAACCGCAGATCCATATGAAACGAACAGGATAAATCAAGATGAACAGGGACAGATAGTGTATAAATACATGAAACAATGAATACTCGCTCTTTGATCACGTCTTGAGTCGAAATTAATCAATATTAAAGGCAACATCGTACCGCAAGGGAGTTAAAGCAAGAAAAAGAACAAGAACGAAGACCCGATAGGAAAATGTGAGCAAGTATGTAATGGAGAAAACAGGAACGAGATTTACCTGCTTATATAGAGGTGGCGATGAAAACGAGGAGGTGATGTAGAAATGCATAGAGCATATTACAAGAAAGTCTGAAGAAGATAACAGAGTTAACAGCAGCGAGCATTCACTTCAACGAACAGAGGGAAAATACGAGGAGGGAAAAGGAGCTACTTATGACAGACAAGAAGCGACTTTAATCACTACATGTGGGAGAAGTCGCCGTTAGTTTGGTTGAGCCAAATTCCAATTCAAAGTAGTGAGCTTCCAGCTTCTTCAAGGCGTGCATGGGTAATTCACTTTTAATTTTTTAAAATTTTTTTGGTATTATTTTAAAAGTGAAAAGTTGTTTGGGTAAAAAATATAGGATCAGAGTACATTGTGAAAGTCCTTCTCAAACAAGCTTGAATGTGCTTTCACCCAATAGAAAAATTTGAAGGTTTTCAAATGTGTCTTTGGGGAAAAAATTTGTTTATGGCAATTTTTTAAATCCTATATTGTAATTTTTTTAAAAAAAATATGACATATAATTTTATTTTTAATTAAATAATATAGAGTTTTTTTTAGTTAAATAATTTTACTTTTTTAAAAAATATGACATAATTTTCCTATATTGATAATAATGCTAGTGTGTATCTCTATTCTCACTTTCACTTCTAGTTTCCTAAAAAGAGATAAATAATCACGTAACTTAATTTAAAATCATGTTGTGTATTATAAACTAAATAACTAATCAAGTAAATTTAAAGTTTTTTTGTGGAAAGTTAATATTGGGCTAATTTGTTTTTAGGCCTTCTTGTTTTGTGTGTGTGTGTGTGTGTTTAGGGTTTTCTTCAAACGGACGAATGAGACACTTTTGGGGATGATAACTCAGAATGGATCGGGTTGCGGAAGCTTGAACCTTGTTCAAATATCATAAAGGAGAATGTGACTAAAACGAACAATTCATTATCTGGCACTTGAGCCTGAACAAATGTGGCAGCATAATACCTTACAATATGACTCTTCTAACCAATGTACGTACAATCCAAATTGGGAAAGGAAAACGAGAAGGCCTTTAGAAACTAGGCCCCAATATTAACTTTCTGTACAATATGACTCTCCTAACTATTTATATATCCGAATCAGAAAACAAAAACAAGAAGGCCTAAATGCCTGAAAACAAACCAGGCCTAATATTAACTTTCTCCATTTTTTTAATGGCAAAATATTCCAGATGAAACTACCCACCAGTGTCCAAGGATTCTAAATCCTTAGCAATAAAGCTCGAAATAAAAACAGGAATCTGCGTGAATAACACTTCACCACTATCAATGTTTAAAGCTGCACGTTTTGCGTAAATTTTCAGGTTTAATTCACGTTTATTTGATTATGTATATAATTTTTTGTCCAAATATGTCAAACTCTATATTTTTCTTTAATTTATTCTTCAACTTGTCAAATTTTATGTTATTTAAAATTTGTGTTAAAGTTTAATTTTATCCCTATACTTATTTTTTAGAAGCGTTGGGCGTCATATATTTTTAAGTGGGATAATTTTACCCTTAAATTATTTTTTTGATGAGCAAAAAATTCCTTATTAGTCAACTGTTAGTTTCTTTTTTATTTTTCGCTAACGTGGCAAGTAACATTTTAAAAATTAACTTAAGATTAATTAAGTCAATTAAGGGTGAATGAGCAATTTTGAAGAAATATTTAGAGATAAATAATTTTAGTTAGGGGATTATTATTAAATTTAATTTAGAATAAAATCTAAATCCTAAATTATGATTTTTTAAAAAATAAAAATAATAACAACAACATTTATTATTATATGAAAGAAAAGAAAGGAAAAGAAAAAGGAATAAATAAATAAAAATAAGAAGGGGGCAAATTAATATCCGAGTTTGTGTGTTTGACATAAAAAAAAGTGGGAAAAGAAGGAATAGGATTGTAAGACTGGCAACCAATTAAAAATAATATCCCTCTCTTTCCTTTTTTTTTTCCTGCCTTTTCATTTCATTTCCTCTTTCTCAGAGCGAACAAAAACAGCGAGCGCAATGTCGATGACCAAAGCTAAAGTAAAAAATAGGATTTCATAGTGAGATATTTCAGATAAGATTTTAAATATTTTAAAATTATATAAATGTTTTGAATATTTTTTTAGTTATATTTTCTTTTTGTTTTTAGATTTTCAGATTATGAAAAATTTAAAGTTTGAAATAGGAATAAATTTTGTTATAAATAAATCTAGTTATGAGGTTGTTAGTAGTATAATAAATATTTTAAAGTATTATTTTATTAATAAAATTAAATTTGAGGCTTTTTGGTTAAACCCTCTAACTCTATGGGTAGATTGTTGGTTAAATATGAAAATATAAATTAATTTATTAATATTTAAATAATTATTTGAGGTGAGAAATAAATTATTATGACTATAGAATAATAATTTTAGGCTTGAGAATAAGTTTATAATTTTTGAGTATTTTTAGGTGTGAATTTTTGAAATAAAAAGAGAAATTTTGATAGTAGAAATTATTTGAATGATGATTTTAGCTAAACTTCAATGAGATTATTGTGAATAAAGCTATTGAACTAACAAGATAGGTTCAAATATATGAAATTAAATTTTAAGACTCAATAGACTAAGACTAAGGTCTTAAAAAAATAAAATAAAATAGAATAAATACCTAAGTGTTGGAATATGAGTAAAAATTGTATTAATAATATTATTGATACATTGTAATGTGATTTAAATAGAGATTAATTGTAAGTCAGCATCAATCAAGCTTTGAAAGCTTTAAAAATATTGTAATTTGAAAGATAACTTTTGATCTCTCAAAGGTTAAGGTAACCCAAAAAAATCTATTTTATATTTGTGTGTTAATTAATTATTTATATTTGTGAAATAAATGAATATCTGTATACATATATACATCTAAATCTTGAAATTGTTATTTGTAATACATATGTGGCTTTGTTGAGATCCTATAATTTGTGACTAAATTAATTGTGACATGATTTGAGTAACGAAATTGAGGGTTGATGATGATGTACGCACTCTTAATTATAAATTATGAATTGTACATGGTGATGAATTGTGTATAAGCATGTTGAGTTTTTATATGATCCCAATGTGATTTATGTGGTAACATGAAAACTCGATGCATGAGACATGATTAAGATACGATGATTCTTAATACTTGTTGAGCATAAAAATTGAGGAACATGTGGGTAATTGTGAATTACACATATAAATTATTGAAATGTATTTTCTCATGAGCATAATTATATGGCAGTAGTTTACTTTAGCAAAGGAGCTAGCGATTGTGAAAAATTCATATGGTCCTTGATTATTAATCGATAATCCTAAAGGTTATAGCTGTTACTTACCTTGTAAAATACTATAGCATTGTTCTTATTACGAAACTCAACATTACTAGCCCATCTAAAGTTTTAGATAGAACTAGTCTTAGGTGTGACGTCCTATAGTGTGTGATTTAGGAGAAACTATGTTCATAAGTGAGTAAAATAATTATGGCCTAGTAGCCCCTCATGATATGATTAAGTCCTTAAGTAGTCTCACCACATGGACGGTCTCCGGTTATTAGCCCACAGATTTCATATCAGAGAAAATAAAGGAGATATAAGGAAGAGATTGATCATATATATTATTATTATGCCATTTAAGTGATTGATAGCTATGTTTGAGATTATGATTGTAACTATGAAAATAAAAACATGTGGTAAATATGTGAATAATGCATATATGGTCATTCATGCCAATTTTGTACGAATATTCAATATTTGTGTATAGTCATATCAATTTTGTACTTGATTTTATTCTTGAGATTATTCACATGAGTTAGATGTTAATGTAATTAGCATGATCTTGATATGATTGTTTACATGGTCATTTTGATGAATTTATTAGCCATTTACATTTATAATTAATTATCATGCATTTGTATAACTTAGATATACTTTAGTTATTGAATAGTTATACTTATTCCCTTTTTTTAACATATTACAGGAGCTAACTTATTTAGGAAGAACAAAGGAAATGAGCATTAAGTCAAGTGATAATAATCACTTCTATATGTCTTTCTTTTTTTATTTTGATATGTGTATTTAGTTTATAATATTATCAATTAGGATAATATATTATTAATTCACTTACATTATGGTTTTTGTGTTAGCTGGAAATGTATTTTGAGCCTTTGAGAATGTGATTTAGTGCTTGTGTTTATATGAGTGATCAAAATATTTGTGCAAGTGAAAATAGTTATTCTATGCATGATTTGAAAACTAAAATATTGTTATGATCTCCCTTTATGTTTTGTTGTCCAGGGGTGAGTAGTTGATATTAATCATATATGAATGAAAAAGGAAAATTCATACACATAATAGGCTATTGATGACTAGATGATATATAGAGTACGATAATTAGGTGATAGTCATAGTGATAAATGTGATTGAGACCTTAACCTCACACTGTCAGTTATGGAAAGGTTTGAGTGATCAAGTGTTATACTGGTAAATATATACATTATATGGTGTAGGGCACAGGGAGAAAATAAAGGGGGAAGTTTTTCTTCCATCTTGAAATATATTTCTTAATCAAGCTTTTGCATATGTTTAATTAAATGATATGAGTTCTTGAAATATTTTAAAGATTTGGGATCCTTTTGTTTTGAATAGTTTATGAAAATACATGTTAATGATTTGTTTAGGTTAACCACTTATAGGATAATCTTTTTATGTTAGTTCTTGATTAATCATGGTTAGTATGATGATTTAAATCTTAATTTAAGGCACCCTTTTACATGGCATGTGTGTGGGGCTCACGCATAATGACATATAAGGCTTTAACAATGTCTTTTGGTGTTAATTTTTTCTTGAATTCTTTTTTCTATGAGTGCTAGGCATTTTGAACTCTTGTTAAAATAAGCTTTAATAAATATTTTTAAAATATTAAGTATTTTTAATATTTTTGATATTTTATAATTTTGTATTAAAAATAAGGGAATGAACCTCTAAATTAATAAAGAAATTTCTTTTTCTCATCTCTCCATGTTTCTCTGATTAAGTAACTTTTTTGTAGTACATTAATGGAATAAATGATATATTTCAAATAAACATTTTTTATTGACATATTGTTGGTCTTGATTTGTCATGTTTTTAATTTTACTCCTAATACTATAATATACAGATAATAATAAATTTAGGTCGTGTAATATTTTGGAGCAAGATCGCTAGTTGATTAAAAAAATTATAGAAAATGACCTAAAATTTTAAGAAACTTAACTAATATTAAAAATATAGGTAAGTTCTAATACACATAAAAGGCGTAATGATCATTATGCATGGCATGATCATTGGTGGGAGTTTCACCTAGAGAGAAGAGTAGATTAATAAATTCACGTCATAGCAGTAGCTTATCGTTGAAATTAAAAGCTTGCCTTGACACCGACCATTAGAGTAAAGAGGTAGCTATTATCTCATGATTGATTCAGGACTATTTCACTTGTTCTTTGAGGGACTCAAATCTAACTAGTTTTTACCGGTTCATGAGAAAGATAAATTAGGGGTATAACACCCCATGGTTGTTAGCATTAAAGGAAATCTTGCTATATAAGTGAGTGAGTTAACCCTGGTCTAGTAGCTCCTCACAAGTGAAAGATTAAGTTAGTCTAAATTATAGACGTAGCCACTAATAGCCATTGGTTTCATGTCGGAGTTAATAGGATGGTATAAGACTGGTATTAATCACATATTTAGTTCCGGCCACATGATTGTTATTATTATAGTTCAACTTGTTTTAGGGACGCATAGTTGTTATTTTTGTGATCCCAAAATGTATATATTTATGATAAATTAAATGATATGTGTTACATGCCTAGTCACATGATTGTTATTGTTGTGATTAAGATTATATTTTCTATATGTGTATAATATTTGAATTTATTGTCATTTGCATCCATTTTTAATTAACATGCAACTATATGTGCTAGGTTGTCCTTAGTTATTGAGTGGTTGTACCTACTCTTTATTCTTCAATATTTTTAAGGCTTAATTCATTGGATCAGGATCGGGAAAAATAACTAGAGACATAGGATTATGAGTAAATCCTATTTATGGGCCTCTTGGCTTTATTTATGCATATTTTGATTGTTAATTTGCCAACTAGGACTCATACCATTATTTTGAGCTACTTGTATTATAAATGATAGTACTGTGTATTTCGTGCCCTAAGTTACTAGCATGTGGTTGTAAGACTTATATAGGACTGAAATACTAGTACAAATAGAGTAAAGTGTATGTTGGTTGTTTTGAATGTATATTGATTATTTTATGCAAAATTATCTCCCTCTTATGTTTTTGTGAATTGAAGGGTTGAGGGTTGAATTTATGGTGTAATTAAAATGGTTGTGATGTGTTGTACGAGTTCTAAGTGATTCATTGAGTGTGATCTAAGAATTGGTGTAAGCTTTTGACACATGGGTGAGAATTTGGATACCCTAGTTGTGAGCTTATGTGGAAAAGGAGTGAGTTTTGTAAAATAGTGTCTTTTGATATAAAAATAATTTAGTTGTAAAATTTGTGCCATTGGCTAAAGTTAGAAAAAAAGTTTATGTAAATACTTAAATTACCTTAATTGGACATCGAACGAAAAAATGGGACGCTTCGAAAGTTTGTCTTAGGTGTTGTCAAATTCGTGCAATATGCCGCAACGTGCATGGCTTTGTAGCCGCGAGCATGTACTGTTTTCTACACAGTTCACTGTTTTGAGTTATATATAAATGTTTTGATTCTTTATTCAATTCCTGGGCTTTTGTACCTATTTTAAACTCTGATTAGGGAATATAGAAAGTGTGTGTGAGTATTTTAAATATTGAAAAATTTGAGATCTTATTGTATGATTTGACAAATTTGCCATTCTTACTTTTAGACAATCTTTTAATTACTTGAGATTTGGGTTAATCAAGTAATAGTGATAGAGATTTTACAACTTGTGTTAGAAGAGCAATAAGTGTGATAGGAGGCACATTTGGAGGTTGGAGCAGCTGTAGTTTTGGTTATGGAAATGAGCTCAGTAGAAGAATTTGTACTTGAACCATTAGAAAAAAGATCGGTATAAATATTTATAAAAATGGGAGGTAAAGAAGATGAGAATGATGAGAGATCGATTTGAGATAAAAACTTGATATTTTTTCAAAAGACAACATGTCGAGCAATACGAGTACGATGAGAGAGAAGATCCTAACAATAATAACTAATAACTCTTATGCTCAAAATCATAACCAAGAAACACGAGAATGAGTTTAAAGTTTGTTCATCTCATGAGATAGAAGAAGAACAAAATAGACATAAGTAGAGATTTTCAAAAGACTATAATTAAGAGAATAACTATAAAGATGTTTAAAAGGAGAAATGTTACCGATAACAAGAGACAGTAGTCGATTGATGCAAAAGACAAAGGTTAAGGCTACTTCACCCTAAAACTATTTAAGACAAAAAGAGAAAATGAGCAATGCCTTAACTGAACCAAGAATATGACGGTGTTTACGCTCTGCACGACCATTTTGTTGAGAAATATAGGAACAAGAATATTGAAAAACAATACTCTGAGAATAAATGAAAGGTGAGTAATCTAGAGACATGATATTCCAAAGCATCATCACAATAAAATTTTTTGATAAGTTTAGAATACTAAATGTAAATTATAGTAGCAAATTTGATATAAAGTTTAGGTAATTCAGATTGATATTTTATCATATAAATTCAAGCAAAATGAAAAAAGTCATCAACAGAAATAAAAAATATCAAGATCCTCTTGTAGAGAGGGAGTAGGCGCAGGAATTCAACATTGTTACAAAAAGAGAGCAAAAAATTATTTTTTCTGTATCATTACATTAGGGAAAATTATGTTGAAGCACATAAGTAAATTAATTATTATAAGATATTAAACTGATCTGATCCCAGGAAACACCCCGTCGCGCGGCCTCTATCCAGATTTCGGTATAACTCGTGGGTAACAGGGGGATTAACAACTGGCAGTTTCAGCCGGAGACCAGTCCCTTCGCTGGACGGATCGGGTCGCCTCGCAGGTCGGGTTACTCTAAACCCAACCGCCTCCTGCTTACACGCTTTTCATCTTCACTGGACACGAAACGTACGAAGGATTCGTTGTTTCTCTGCTGCGCTGGATTATCCTGAGCCCAGCCCCATCGAGTCATCGACGCCCGGAAACTGCTCACTATTAATCATGGACTTCGATCCCCGCCAATACGAAAACCTCGTACGCTTCTATTTACTTATTGCGCTTCCATTACTCCTGTCTCATCTTTAAACTTGTTACTCCATATGTTTTTTTATCATTGAGTTTCCGGTTTTACATTTTGATGTGTTATTCGAACCAATATTGTTTGTTCCGTAGTCTCTTTTTTGTTACCATCAAAGCCTATTTCCGACGCTACTTTTAGATGCAGAATCTTGAAACGCCTCCATACTGTGGACTGTTTATTTGTACTTAATAATATGTGTTTTGCCGGTTTTATATGTATGGAATCAATGTCAATTTCCTTTTTATGGTTGCTGCTCGCTTTTAACTTTGAGGTATTATCATTATTGGCGGTAAGGCATCTGTGTTTGACATGAAGATTAGACTTAGAGTAAAACATTGAAGATTACATGGGCAATAGACGATAACTTTAAGTTTTACCTCATCTATTGAGCTGTAAATATTGCTATGAGAATGCCATAAAATACTGCAACCGAAATTGGGCGAGGGAGTGTTCTGGATTTTTTCCTAAACATAAGGTCAACTTTAGGATTTGTGTGTTGATTTAGTTTTGCTGATTAGAGTCTGCTTCAAAGACCATTGCATGTATTGCAGAATTGTTTTGTTTGGAAGATGTTTTATTTGAGTGGCATGTTATTCTCTGAATATTTTTTGGATAGTTCTAGGTGGTTGTCTTTCATTAGGTCTCATTCTTCGTTTTTACTGGGGACGCCGTTGTTATTACTAGTATTGTCTTTCTATATTGGTGTTTGACTTTATGTTATCATATTTTTATAGTTATTATTAATTAGGCTGAAAAGGATCCCATTCAGCAAAAAATACTCTCAACGATTTGCTGTTTACAAGCTTGCTTTTGTGCCTTCTACCAGATACTATCTACTAGTATGATTTTGTGGATTATTGATTTCCTTGTCATAACTTATCTCGCCAAGTTCTTATTTCATTGTTGTGGTTACATGGATTGACAGGCTATAAATGATAACGACGTCCAAAACATAGTTCTGTCATATCTTATTCATAATTGCTACAAAGAATCAGTGGAGTCATTTATTGCTTGCACAGGAATGAAGCAACCGGCAGACTATTTAGAAGACATGGAAAAAAGGAAAAGTAGGTCCATTGTTGTCTTTCTGTGGTGAAGGTTGATTAATGACTTCTGAATTGCTTGGTGGCTTATTTCCTTTTTGCCATCTACAACATATCCATTGGATTGCTTGACTTCAATAGGAAGGATGCTGGACTATTGTTTTCTCTTTTAACTCATCTTGAAACATCTACACCACTAAAATCATGGCTGATTTTTGTCTTAAGCTTTTGAGTGGTGATTATACTTCTTTTGCTCTCTCTCTCTTTTTTTAATCAAATGGGTTTATCTTGACCATTTTACTTTCCTACCTTCCAGTCACATGTTGCTAGGCAATATGCATAATATTTGATGAATTTAGTTATTTTTACAATTGCAGTCTAATGTAGACTGTGAGGACCTTTTATGGTGATTTTAATAATTTTCTTCAGGAATTTTTCACTTTGCATTAGAGGGAAATGCACTAAAGGCCATTGAGCTGACTGAACAGCTGGCACAGGATATTCTTGAGAAGAATAAGGACTTACGGTTTGATCTTTTAAGCCTTCACTTTGTTGAGCTTGTCAGGTCTAGGAAATGGTGAGCTGAGTCTAATTTTGCCCCAAGAAGAACATATTACATACTTTCTGCTTTCATTCAATCTCATTTCATTGGCAGCACAGAAGCTTTGGAATTTGCTCAGAGCCAGTTGAGCCCTTTTGGGAAGGAGCAGAAATACATGGAAAAGCTTGAGGTATGTGAATGAATAGTCTTTGATCCTTTGATCTCCCCCCTGCACCACACCCACCCCCACCTCAAAAAAAAAAAAAAAATTTTTTTTTGGTCCCTTGGAGATTAAGTCTACATATGTGGGACTGAGAAGCATTTATGGGTCTTTGATGTACTAAAGTCTTTGATACACAGGCAACGTTGGTTTGAGGATTGAGGACACATGATCAAGCTTATTAGTCAATAGTCGTGTGCAATCCTGCTTCTACCTTAAGGAGGGATCATTTTGATTGAAATTTTCTTTTCTTTCTCAGGCCGGGGGGTGGGGGTGGTTTCTAAATTGAGATTTTATATTCTGAGGATCAAATTGAAAGGAGGCTCATTCTTTTATAGACTACTCACTAATTTACATTTTTTTTTTGGCTTTTGCTCCGGTATTCTAGATCTTTGATCCAAACTAATCTAGTTGATAGTTTGCGGACTTTAGATTTTATTTGAATACCTAACCATTTGGCTGCCTATTATGCAGGACTTTATGGCCCTTCTTGCTTATAAAGAGCCAGAGAAGTCCCCAATGTTTCATCTGCTCAGCTTAGAGTACCGGCAGCAGGTTGCAGATAGTTTAAATCGAGCTATTCTTGGTTGGTTACTTGATTTCTCATTTGCTTGGTAGTTCTTTTATTCCATGGGTATAACATGTACAAGTACATTTAACTTCAACATTCAATATTTCATTTCTGCCCTTCCAAATATATGATGTGTCATGTAAATTTCTCGCTTTTTTCTTTTTTGTGGATAATGGTATTTGCCAGAACACTCAAACCTTCCCAGCTACACAGCAATGGAGAGGCTTATACAGCAAGCTACTGTAGTTAGGCAGTGCTTAAGTCAAGAGGCTGGAAAGGTAGTGTATAATTTAATTTCTGTTTCTCTGGTTTGAGTTTTTTAAGTGGCCGTATATGCTGGCTAATTTCTCGTGGCAGTTAGCTTCGATCCATATTTCTATCAAACTGTGAAACTCTTTTATATCTATTTGAGCACATCACTCAACAGGAGAGATGTAAGGGTGGTGTTAGTACCGCATCTCTGGAGGATAATCTGACCCCCCCTCCCTTTTCCTTCCCCGATTTACACATTTCAGGATGGGCATCCACCTTTTACATTGAAAGATTTTCTCAAAAGTTGAAACATGAACAAAGGGCACCGTTGGGGAGTGACGCTCGGTTACCTTAAGCTCTTGTTGCCGCATAGGGGATTCGTGTGGTTTGACCGTGGGTGGAAAGTTGTCTGAATGCCTGTTCATCTATATAATCTAATAGGCAGGCTGTGATGATTGTTTGGTCTTCGTCAAGTTCCTTGAATGGCCGGCCATGGACAGATTTGCAATGATTTCCTGATTGAGGATTCGGTATGGGGCAGTTGATCTAACGTGTCGCCCAACCTCGACCAAACCTTCTTTTTCCTCTTGTTCTGAGGTTCTGATATGTAAAATGCATATGCATCTTTTGGCTTATATTTTAGCGGTAGAGCGCGCGGAAAACTAGCACGTATGGTACCTCATTCTTCGGCTCCACTTTTATTGTCCACCATGTCGTACATACGTTTCTAGTCTCTTTTGTGGTCAAATTAGAACACCCCCAAACCTCCCCCGAACCCCAATATATATATATATATATATATATTAGTAATATTGTTTGATGGCACTGGGACAAGCTCTCGTGGAGTTTCTCTAAAAATATCGGTTACTAATAAAAGCTGCTTCAAGTGTCTCACGAGAACCTTAAAGAAAGTTGGTTTGATTAATAAAATTGCATAAATATGGCTTTGACCTTTTTTTTGTGCTGTTGATAAATATTCCATTTGGTTTTATTTATATATTATTCTTAACATTTTCACTGAAATTAAAGAATTTTAAAATTCATTAACACTATTTAAAAAATTTAACAATTTTTTAACTTTATCTTTAATAAATATACCTACCTTAGAAATGAAATATTTTAATATTTAATAACCTTCCTGTCATTTAATAGAGATATAGAGATAAAAGAGTAAAGATGGATGCAGTTATTTTGCAAGTATGATTAAAATATATATATTTTTTCTACCTTGTAAATAGAATATATGAAGTATTATAAAATTTAGAAAGGCACGATTCTCATCTCCTTATTAGAGCCAATTGGTCTCGTGTCTTGCTGGTGAGAGTGTGAAGCTATCACTAGTTAATTCATGAGTTCAGTTCGATACGGCACTCACACACGCCAACTTTCAAATTCTCTTTCGTCAATCTCATTATTAGATTTTTTTCTTTTTTCTTTAAATAAAAACAATTAATGTCCAAACCCTAACTTGCACCAAGGACGAAGTATTAGCTTTGCAGAGTTTTGGGGGTTTAGGTAGAGTCGGGAATTCGGACGGGTCGGGCTTATTCGGGCTCGGCCTGAATAGGCCCGAACCCGAACAGGCCTGACTTTTTGAAAAGCCTGAATAGTCAAGTTCGGCTAGAATTCTTTCGGGCTTCGGACGGCCTGAATACTTGAATTTAATTTTTAAAATTATTTTTAATTATTTTTTTACTTTGAAATTAATTATTTTATTTTATAAAAAATATAAAATATATTTTTTTAATACTTAAATGATGTCTAGGATTCAAATATATGGTATTTTAGTATAAAATGATCTAAAACTTAAAGAATTAATTAATAATTATTATATTTTATGTATTTTTTAAAAATATAATTGTTTTATTTGGGTATTCGGGCCAAGCCCGAACCCGATCGGGCTTGGCCCGAACATAAAAAACATTCTTTTTTTAAGTTCGGTCTTAAAATTTTTCGGACCAATTTAGGCTAACTCGTCGGATTTGGCCCGAATTACCAGCTCTAGGCTTAGGTGAGTTGAGATGCTCCATCGAAGCAGAATTTGTCTTCTTGATTCGATGTTGAATCTTTAATATTAAAATTAGTCCGGTTGAATTTTTCTATTGCATTTTGTAATATTTTTCTTATTTTAATTGGTACAGAACATGATGTATTATTTTCCAATTATCAATTTTTAAACAAATGTATTTATGGTGTTCCAGAATGAGCAAGGATTTCCAAGTGTTAAAATTTTCTGGTTCGAAAATCGACATGTTTGTCTTTCGGCCGAAAACAATCACAATGTTTGGACTTTTTGTGTTTTTTTTTTTTTTGGTTGGCGGGGCTGGGGATGATTGCATGTTCCGGTTCCGGTCGGAAAATATAATGGGCTTGGATCTCGGGATTGTATGACATAGCCCATGCGGTCTCACAAGGACACTAGTGTTCTACAGATGCCCCAATCAACCTATCCATAGCCATCTGTAACCGGTGACCGTACTCCGACAATGGCGTCTCTAATTTCTTCCCCGTTGTCAGCTTCATTTTCTATCGTTCGTTTCCGTCAAACTTCTGTGTTTTCCACTCGCTTGCTTCCTGCAAGGTACTTCTGTCAGAAGTTTCAATTGCATTTTTTAAGTTCTTCCGTTCAAATTTATGGAGTGGTCCATGTTGGTAAAATAATCCGCGTGTTGTCTATTCAAACCTCGTTTCCACTCTTATGATTGCCAACTTTGGGATCAGTTTTCTTGTTCGGCATTAAATAATATTCCCTCATGCCAGTAAACTTTGCAATTCAAGCTCCTAGCTTGTTTCGTGAACATGATGCTTGAAGATTTATAAGGGAATGATAAATAACCTCCTTGCCATCATCTTTTTCATTTTGCTATTGCTCGCTCGCTCTATAATGATAATCTGGGGCCTGCTTGTATATACAGAAATCTTCAACAGAGATGCAGTTCTGATAATTATGGATGGCGCTCAGTTAAGTGCAGACTTCTCAGCGTCAATGTCCCTCCTTCCTCAAATCTTCCGACAATGATCAAGGAACCTCACAAGTATTTTGATCAAGCAATCATCACAGTTCGTTCGGGTGATGGAGGCCATGGAACTATACTTAACATGCCATACCAGAGAATCAATAGTTCGCAAGGAAGACATGAAAAAGAAAAGACAAGGAAAAAAAACTCTTATAGAAGAGATTTCGATGGATCGCTTATCCTACCTTTGGGTGGGCATGGAGGGGATGTGGTGATTTATGCGGATGAGGAAAAAGATTCATTATTGGAATTCCACAGCAAAAGCCGCTATAATGCAAAGCGTGGTGGCAATGTTGATGCAATGGGTATTTTGACCTCACAATTGCATGATGGACTTGCTGCTCCAACTCTCCGTATTCCTGTGCCTGTAGGTTTGTATGTATAACATACGTCTTTTTTATTGAAGAGATCTTTTTGTGTTTTATGCAAAGACTGGACTGGATGGGAAATGTTCTGGTTTCCCAATCTTCTCCATATTCATTATTGACTGTTTAAACCTCAAAGAATGGCAAGGAGTTAATTGGCATAATTTGCTATACTTTCAAATTTAGCAAAGGTGAAGAACTAAATCTGCTTTCCCTCATTGAATTTTCTGATGTGACAGGTACCGTTGTAAAACACAAGAGAGGGAAATTGCTGGCCGATCTGGCACAACCAGGTGATGAAGTTCTTGTTGCGAGGGGCGGACAGGGAGGGGTAATATGTCTTTCTTTCCTTTTTTTTTTTTTTATCTCCTTTGAAATTCTTTTGGAATCTGCTGCTTTTTATGATTGAATGATGCGCCAGACTCCTTTGATTTGTAAGTAAAGCTATTGCATAATTTATTGCTTTGAGGTGATTGATATTGTGTCATCTTGGTGATAAGTTGAATATCTGGATTAATGGTGTTCATTCATTCACTCTCCCTCCCTCGCTCTATCTCACTCCCACGCACTCTCATGTGTATGTTTTTGGGTATGGTGTTTATGGATTAATGTATATTATGGTACAGACCGTTCTTTTCCCCCCTGAGAAGTAAATATGCCTGAAACATATGATACTACTTCTCCGGCGCATGTTCTTAAATATAGTTGAATTTATAACTTGCTTCTCATTTTATTTTTGCCTTTGCAGATTAGCTTGTTAGATCTGCCACGGCATAAAAGGAAAAAGATGATGGCATTGACAACAAATGTGTTGAGAGATGATACTGATAAGGTAAAATATCTTCTTTTATAATTTAAAAATCTATTGTATAAAATATTTTGCACTGTTTTTCCATGGAGAGATATGTCCCAGAGAAGATCGTGACCGCTCATAATCCAACTCTTGTACTGTAAATTGAACACCTTGTATTAGGGAATTGAAGCAATAGGATTCTGTTGCTGTCACGCTTGGACCAGATTTGGTTAGAATTTTGCATTACTTTGAGCAATCGATAATCAATTAGTTTGTCAGAGATGTATGGTTATGCCTGCTGTTGGTTAAGTATATTTTTCTGAGTCAGTTTTTTAATTAAGACAGCTAATCAATCAGTCCCTGCGCTCTCATTTTCAAATAGGTCCGTATACTTTGAAAGTTTGCGGACAACTTATAATTTTCTCATCGAGCAAAGCTAGTCCCCAAAGTTAGAGTTGTTTACTAAACAACCCTATGGTGCACAAGTGGCATTAACACTGTGTTAATGTAATGGGCTCCAATTCAAAGCTTGACACAGTGGAGGTGGTGGAGGCTGGTGGTGTGGGTTTTGGTGGACATGGGCTCCAATTCAAAGCTTGACACAGTGGAGGTGGTGAAGGATGGTTGAAACGGAAAGAGCAGAAACGAGTTGAAACGGAAGGCACACACATAATGAAGCAGAAAACGGGAGACACACATAATGGAGCATCATAAACTCTTTGTAACCGCCCCTTAATTTCTGTAACCCCCTTTTAAATTTGTATGGTTCAGTTTCACGAATTCTAGGACTATAAATAGGACCCTTGTGGCTGTGAAAGAGGGAGACTTGAAAGAATAAGAATTGCTTGTTGTTCATTCGGTTTCTGTGCCATTTTGGTATCAGAGCTGGTCCAGAGAGCGAGAGAGTGAGTTACAGTTGAGAAAGTACGCCGGAAAGAAGAAAGATTCAGAGGAGGAGTCCCTGACGTCTTCGCGTTTTACAAACCAGGCATTTTCTCAGAAAACTAACATCACCATCGTGCTCAGGAGGTCTGAAAACGTAGAACAAGAGGTTCCTTGTCACCGGAAACCACCGCACGCGCCGCTATGCGCCACCGTCGTAAGACCACGCACCTTCACGCGCCATTTGAAGGTTGAAGACGCTGACGTCAGCTGCCACGTCAGCATTTTGACCGGTCAACGACAGGTCAGCTCAGTAGTTTTCTGCCACGTGTCACGGTCGCCATGTCACTGTACCCAGTCAGCCAACTTTTCAGAAATTACATTTTCGCCCCAAATCTTTCAGTAATTCCAAATTTGCCCTTATTTTTTTATGAAATTTCATATTGACCCCTAATTTTTTCGAAATTCCATTTTAACCCCTAAACTTTCCTAAAATTACACTTTGGCCCCTTGATTTTACTTGAATTCCATTTTAACCCTTATATTTTTCATAAATTTCAATTTGACCCATCATTCTTCTAGAATCGCTATTTTACCCCCTAGACAATCCAAAATCCCCATTTTGCCTTAGCCTTTTGAAAAAAATCTCACTTTACCCCTATATCCTTCAACGTTTCCAATCGCACCCCAATCTTTATCCCTAGCCTTGACACTTATCCAAAATGCCTCCAAGACGTAGACATGTGCACGAGGTTGAGATGGAAGAGTTGAGACGTAGGATACGAGAATTGGAAGCCACTGTGGAATTGCAGCAAACTCTGTTAAACAACAGAGAAAACTTAGAGAGAGATTCGGGAAGCAGTAGTTCGTCATCTATTGACAACCGTCGCCGCCCACGACAACAACAATTCCGCCCTAATGACATCAAGGTTGACATTCCTGAATTCGAGGGAAGGCTCCAGCCAGACGAGTTTGTAGATTGGCTGCAAACTATTGAACGAGTATTTGAATACAAGGAGATTTCAGATGCACAGAAAGTCAAAATTGTCGCCCTCAAACTCAAGAAACATGCTTCTATTTGGTGGGAAAACCTCAGACGAAAGCGAGAACGTGAGGGAAAGCGCAAGATTGAAACCTGGGAGAAAATGAAACGTCAGCTCACTAGGAAATTTTTACCAGATCATTACCACCAGGATAATTTTATCTAGTTGCAAAATCTTCGACAGAGATCTTTATCTGTAGAAGAATATACTAGAGAGTTTGAACAACTCATGATGAAGTGTGATATTCAGGAGAAGGAGGAGCAAACAATAGCCTGGTACCTTGCAGGCTTAAACACAGATATCAGTCGTCCAGTCCAGCTTCAACAATATTGGACCTTGGATGATGTCATCCGTCTGGCCGTGCGTGTTGAGAAGCAGATGCTCAAGAGATCCACTTTCCAACCTTCATCCTCTAGGAGTTATCCAGAAGGCCGTAAAGCAGAATTTCAGCAGACCAACTCCTCAAGCAAGCCACCACCTACTGCTATGCGCAAACCACCATCCAATACTGCCAAGGAATCTGGTTCTAAAGCAATCAAATGCTTTAAATGCCAAGGATTTGGCCACATTGCTGCGGACTGTCCTACACAAAGGGTTGTCACCATTTGAGAAGGATCAGGGCATGAAGCACTTGAAGAAGATGAGGAGGACGATGAGTTCTACGGCACTGATCCCGTATATGACGAGGAGGTCACACCTGCTGATCAAGGAGAAGCATTGGTGCTTAGACGAAGCCTGCATACAACAATAGTCAAAGAAGAACCTTGGCTACGACGTAACATTTTTCACACTCGTTGCACGGCCCAAGGAAAAGTTTGTAATGTTATCATTGACAGTGGAAGCTGTGAAAATGTAGTATCTGACTACATGGTGGAGAAATTGAAGTTGCCAACACAAGATCATCCGCAACCTTACAAGCTTCACTGGCTCAATAAAGGGAATGAGGTAAAAGTTTCTAAATAATGCCTTGTGACCTTTTCTATTGGGAATCGATATTGTGATGAAGTTTTATGTGATGTTGTTCCCATGGATGCATGCCACCTTCTCTTGGGGAGGCCATGGCAATATGACCGACATGCTATGCACAACGGGCGAGCGAACAGTTATTCTTTTACGAAAGATGGTGTCAAGTTCACACTAGCGCCTCTACCACCCAATGAGATTAGCCAATCTTCAAGGGAATCTAGTGTTTCTAAGCCGTTAGTGTCTTTGTTGACTAAGGAGGAATTCAAGGTGTCAAAATCCGAAGCCCAAATGATGAGCATTATTCTAGTGCTTGAGGTGAACGACGAGACGGCCAATCCACCTGGAGTCATTCCGTTATTGTCAGAATTTTTAGATGTAATATCCGATGAGATACCACCAGGGTTGCCTCCAATGCGAGACATACAGCATGCCATTGACTTTGTTCCAGGAGCAGTCATTCCTAATAAGCCTGCTTATAGGATGAGTCCCCAGGAACATGCCGAAGTCCAACGGCAAGTTGAAGAGTTGTTGAAGAAAGGGTTAGTTCGAGAAAGTATCAGCCTTTGTGCTGTACCTGTTCTTCTAGTACCTAAGAAGGATGGAAGTTGGAGAATGTGCATTGACTGTCGAGCTGTCAACAAGATCACTATTAAGTATCGGTTTCCGATACCTCGGCTTGATGATATGCTGGACCAATTGCATGGTGCCACTACTTTCTCTAAAATTGACCTTCGTAGTGGGTACCATCAAATTAGAATTCGGCCAGGAGATGAGTGGAAGACCGCTTTCAAGACCAGAGATGGCTTGTACGAGTGGAATGTGATGCCTTTGGGTTAACAAATGCCCCTAGCACATTTATGCGCCTGATGAATCAGGTATTAAGACCCTTCATTGGTAAATTTGTTGTTGTGTACTTTGACGATATTCTTATTTACAGTAAGAATCAAGAGTATCATTTAGATCACTTGCGGCAAGTTTTGCAAGCCTTGCGTGTGCAGAAGCTTTATGCAAATCTCAAGAAGTGCACCTTCCTCACCAACGAAGTTGTGTTCTTGGGTTACATCATTACCGTGGAAGGTGTTCGCGTTGATCCAAGCAAAGTTGCAGCCATTGACAGCTGGCCAATTCCAAAATCTATCCAGGAGGTTCGAAGCTTCCACGGATTAGCTTCTTTCTACAGGAGGTTCATCCGTAATTTTAGCTCAATTGCCGCACCACTTACAGACTGCACCAAAGGAGAGAAGTTTCAGTGGACAGAGCAAGCTCAGAAAAGCTTTGAGGAGCTTAAGAAGAAGTTGACCGAAGCTCCAGTCCTAGCTCTTCCTAATTTTGACCAAGTATTTGAAGTTAGCTGTGATGCTTCTAACACCGGCATTGGTGCTGTCTTAAGCCAGGAGGGCCATCCCATTGCCTTTTTTAGTGAGAAGCTCAATGATGCCAAGCCTAGATATTCTACTTATGACAAGGAATTCTATGCCATTGTCCGAGCTCTTCAATATTGGAGTCATTATCTCCTAAATAAAGAGTTCATACTTTTTTCGGATCATGAGGCTCTCAAGCATTTGAATTCCCAGCAGAAGATCAGCTGCAGACAAGCTCGTTGGAGTGAACTCTTACAGTCTTATCCATTCCTTATCAAACATAAGGCTGGAACTCTGAACTCCGTAGCTGATGCCCTTAGTCGTCGCCATGTGCTACTTACAACACTGCAAACCAAGGTTGTTGGATTTGACCTTATCAAAGAGTTGTATAAGGATGATCCTGATTTCCAAGGAGTGTGGGAAGCAACCGTAAATCAACCTTTCCACCAGTTTTACAGGCATGATGGTTTTTTATTTCGAGGTAAAACCCTCTGTATTCCACAGGGTTCCTTAAGAGAAGCCATAATTTAGGAAGCACATGACGGTGGATTAGCTGGACATTTTAAACGGGATAAAACAGCTGATCTGGTGAAGGAGAACTTTTACTGGCCTCGACTTGAACGGGATGTCAACAGGCATATACAAAGATGCAGAATTTGTCACTTGGCTAAATCCAAGGGTCAGAATACCGGACTATACATGCCTCTGCCAATTCCAGAAGCACCGTGGGAAGATGTAACTATGGATTTTGTTCTAGGTTTACCACGGACTCAAAGGCAAAAAGATTCTATCATGGTAGTTGTGGATCGTTTCTCAAAAATGGCCCATTTCATCCCATGCCAAAAGACCAATGATGCTGTTCAAGTAACAGACTTGTACTTTAAGGAGATTGTGCGTCTTCATGGCATTCCTAAAACTATCACTTCTGACCGTGATGTGAAGTTTCTTAGCCACTTTTGGCGAACGCTATGGAAGAAGATGGGAACTAAGCTCCAATTTAGCAGCGCTAGTCATCCCCAGACAGATGGTCAAACTGAAGCTATAAATAGAATTCTTGGTAATCTTCTTCGCAGTTTCGTGGGGAAGAATTTGAAGCAGTGGGATCTTATTCTTGCTCAAGTTGAGTTTGCTTATAATAACTCTGTCAATCAAGCAACTGGGAAGTGTCTGTTTGAAGTTGTTTATGGCACTCGTCCCCTTAGTCCACTAGACTTGAGCCCTTCACTTGATAAGCAGCAATACAGCTTTGATGCTGACCAAAGGGCTAAGGAAATTAAGAAGTTGCATGAGCAAGTCCGCGAGCGAATCCAAAAGCAGAATTTGAGATACAAAGCTCAACGTGACAAGCATCGAAGACAGCAGACTTTTAAGGTAGGAGATTTGGTTTGGATACATCTACGAAAGGAACGATTTCCTAAACAGCCAAACACCAAGTTGTCTCCAAGAGCTGATGGTCCGTTCAAGATAGTGCAAAGGATCAACAACAATGCTTACAAGGTGGAATTACCTGGTTCTTATGGTGTATCTGCCACCTTAATGTCGCTGATTTATCTCCATATGTTGATGAAGATGATGAATTTGACTCGAGGGCGAGTTCTTCCCAACCCGAGGAGGATGAAACGGAAAGAGCAGAATGAAACGGAAAGAGCAGAAACGAGCTGAAACGGAAGGCACACACATAATGAAGCAGAAAACGGGAGACACACATAATGGAGCATCATAAACTCTTTGTAACCGCCCCTTAATTTCTGTAACCCCTTTTTAAATTTGTATGGTTCAGTTTCACGAATTCTAGGACTATAAATAGGACCCTTGTGGCTGTGAAAGAGGGAGACTTGAAAGAATAAGAATTGCTTGTTGTTCATTCGGTTTCTGTGCCAATGGTGATGTGGGTTTTGGTGGACATGGGCTCCTTGTGTTCATGGTGGTGTAGCCACAAGTAACACATTTGATGGATGTAATGACTCATCTCTAGAATCTAATTGCCACATGTCATTTTTTTTTTCCCTGAATCATGATTAACCGAACAGTGTTAATGCCGCTTGTGCAGCATAGGGATAGTTTTGTAATGAATTTAATGTTGGGGACTAACTTTGCTAATGATGAAATGTATAGGGATTTTGGTAGGATCTAAGATAGGTAGAGTTAAATAAGGAAGAGAAATCTTGATTAACACATGAAATTAGAATCTAACTTCATACATTAATAAAGATAAAATGAGCAAGAATCTTAAACTCATACAACTAATAAAGCTATAGGAGAATCTCCATAACAAAATAATGGTTTTATTTCCAGATGCTTTTTACATGATATGTGCCTCCATATTCATAAACAGAAAAATAACTAATAATTCTTAAAAATGCTCCTATTAATCCATCACTAAGATAGTGGGAAATAACTACCTGAAAAATAAATAAATAAATAAATAAAAATTATAACTTAATCTCTAAGTACCATAACCTGCTTCTACTAAACTTAAGGACCACCTAACAAAACAGAAAAATAATCTGAAAAATATTATTAAATAGATAATATCTAAACTAACTTGAAAAATAATAATTGTTCCTAATATCTAACTCCCCCGCATCACCAATTATTCCATACTACTCAGTACTCCATCAGTACTCACCCCTTTGGGAATCCGCCTTGTTCTCAATGAAAGGCAATAACTTTCTTGTATAGACCCAATATTCACCAAGTGCAGAATCTGGAATAAGGTCCCCTGAAGCTTCATCATTGCTGTAGCAGTCCTCCTCAAAACTACAACGATGGAATTTTCAGCACTTTCTAGCTCTATTCCAGCTTCGGCATTCTCTTCTAGAGCAGAGATGAGTTGCACGCTGTCTTTAATAATTTCAGAGAGGGAAAAAGATGACTTGCAATGTTGTCGAGGTTTATAGGTACCTCTAGATGGAAAGTAGAGACCTTTATCATGACAACGCTGATGTTCAAGCTCTAAAACAGAAGCTGGGTTTTGTAATAGATGCTCAAAGCTTTGACGGCCTCTGCTATCACGTGCGGCTACTAATGACCTAGTCAAAGGAGCTCTATTCTAGTTGGATTGGGTCAATGAATTGGGCCTGCAAATGTGTTGTACCTTCCCTTCAAATTCTAAAACCAAATTCATGGCTTTATAAACTAAGCTAGGTTTCTTGATTCCAAATTTATGTATTTTTACCTCCTAACTCATTGTGGCTAGCTTTGCCTTTGACAGTGGGAACATTATTGGGCTGTTGGGGTTGGGAATTACTAACTTGGGTTTTCAAGCCAGGTTTAGCATTAAACATTTCAAAATGAGATATGATATGAGATAGTTGTAATGATATATAACTGGTAGAAGAAGTATATGGAGGGAAGGAGGAAGATGTGGGTTTGTCAGGAATGGTAGCAGAATGTGAGTACCATCTTTGGATCCAACGGCTCTAATGCCAAATGGTAGGATCTAAGATTGGTAGAGTTAAATGAGCAAGAGAAATCTTTATTAACACATGAAATCAAAATCTAACTCTAAACATTAATAAAGATAAAACGAAATCTTTAATGGAAGATGAGCAAGAATTTTAAACTCATACAACTAATAAAGTCAAAGGAGAATCTCTATAGCAAAATAATGATTTTTTTTCTAGATGCTTTCTTCATGATATGTGCCTCAATATTTATAAATAGAAAAATAACAAATAATTTCTAAAAATACTCCCACTAATCCATAACTAAGATGCATAACCAACTGCAATAAATAAATAAATAAAATAACCTAAATAATGATATTAAATAGAAAATATATAAAATAAAATAATATTTATGCCTAATATATCTCTAACTCCCCAAATCATCCACTATCCTACACTGCTCAGTACTCTATCAATATTGTTTGGGCCTTTCTACATTCTGGGATGTGTGCTACAGCCGATGATGAGGATTTTGAGAAAGAAATCGCAGATTGCATTGATGAACTCTTGTGCTTACGTGCGTCTTTGGCTGAAGAGGCCCTGGGTATCTTGGTTTTGTACTTCTGGATTCTGGCATCTCTTCTAACTCCTAAACCAATGTGGTTTGCTTTGGGTTTGCAGTGGAAACCTTGCTGTGTTGTTAAGGTTGGGAATTACTAACTTGGGTTTTCAAGCCAAGTTTAGCATTAAAAATGTCAAGACGAGATATGATATAAAATAGTTGTAATGATATATAAAAGAAGTGTATGGAAGGAAGGAGGAAGATGTAGATTTGTTAGGAACTAGGAAGGGTAGTAGAATGTGTGAGTACCATCTCTAGATCAAACGGCTCTGATATCAAGTGGTAGGACTTAAGATAGGTAGAGTTAAATAAGGAAGAGAAATCTTTATTAACAGATGAAATTAGAATCTAACTTCATACATTAATAAAGATAAAATGAAAGGTTTCATGGAAGATGAGCAAAAATCTTAAACTCATACAGCTAATAAAACCCAAGGAGAATCTCCATAACAAAATAATGATTTTATTTCCAGATGCTTTCTGCATGATATGTGCCTCAATATTTATAAACAGAAAAATAACTAATAATTACTAAAAATACTCCCATTAATCCATAACTAAGATAATCGGGAATAACCACCTGAAAAATAAATAAATAAATAAATATAAATTCTAACTTAATCTCTAAGTACCATGACCTGCTGCTGCTAAACTTAAAGACCACTCAATAAAATAGGAAAATAATCTAAAAAAATATTATTAAACAGATAGTATCTAAAATACCTTGAAAATAATAATTGTTCCTAATATCTCTCTAACTCACCCACGTCACCCATTATCCAATACTACTCGGTACTCTATCTGAGTTCTTTACAAACTTTTAAAATATAGGGACCTACTTGAAAATAACTGTTAAGTATAGGACCAATTGATTAATTTGCCTTTTTAAATATGAATGAAACTTTAGCAAATCTGTTATAGTTTGTGCTTCAAATTTATTGTCAGATAAAACATTTTAAGTGAAATATTTATTACAGGTTTTAGTTCATGGTCAGCCAGGTGAGGAAGTTAGCTTGGAGTTGATCCTACGAGTTGTTGCCGATGTTGGTCTAGTTGTAAGCACTGCATCCATGTGAAATGTCCCCTTTTTATCTTTATAATAATTATTATTTGGATATTTATCAGTGGCTTTCTTGCATGTACTGATGTACATTGATAAGGGTGATTGACTAATTGTGCAATTTCTGGGGAACTAAAACATTGATGCTTTTTTGGCCTGCAAATTTTTATGCTTGTTTTTGCTCCTTTCATTTTCAATTCGAGAAATGTAATCTGTATAATCCAATAAATTATTCCATCCTAATGCACCCATTGCAATTTGTTGGCTGTTTCAGCAACAAACTTGTTATGTTTCTCAATAGGTTTGCCTCAGTGACCAGGTCCACATCTACTTCTGTTTGTTAACCTAAGTTGTCAAAACAACGCATTTAAGGATAAGACCTTTGAACAACGTGATTCTATTGAGTCTTACATAAAACTTATGTCTTAATATTATAAACTAGATGACACTGAATAAAATTAATGAATAAATAAAATAAGAGGACTATCGCAAAGACTTTTCCATCTTCATAAATGTCCAAGTGTTTCCATTCATTTTTTCAGGAGATTAAGAAAATTTTGATATAGGGACTTCCGAATGCTGGGAAATCAACACTACTGGCAGCCATTACACTAGCAAAACCGGATATTGCTGATTATCCTTTTACAACATTAATGCCAAACCTTGGACGCCTAGGTGGTGACCCCAACTTGGGAGCTGGGATGTATTCATCTGAAGCTACATTAGCAGATTTGCCCGGTCTTATAGAAGGCGCTCACTTGGGAAAGGTATTATGTACGAGTGTTTATAATCTTCTCCTCTGTACCAACTATTTACCATGGGGATGCTGATCATGAAATTGAAAAATTTTTGTTGCAAGGGTCTTGGTCGAAATTTCCTGAGGCACCTCAGGAGGACGCGGCTTCTGGTCCATGTTGTTGATGCAGCCACTGAGAACCCCATCAGTGATTATAGAACTGTGAGGGAAGTATGTATCACTTCTATATGTGCTTTCCCTGCATAATTTTGCTTTTCTTAGCCAGCGTTTTTGCTTTTTTCATATAATGCAAAGTGCTTTCTCCTGTCCCATTCTTGAGTTTAATTGTTTATGCTTTGGTCCCCATCGGAATTATTTCTGCAGGAGTTGCGCATGTATAACCCTGAATACCTTGACCGCCCGTACATTGTGGTTCTGAATAAGATTGACCTTCCAGAGGTATGTAGCTTCCTACCATTTTGTGTGGGCTGATTTTATATCCTGGCATGGACTATTTGAAATCTATAATCATAATTTAACCTAAACGTTTAAGTTGACTAATGTTTCAGGCAAAGGACAGACTTCCATCATTGGCTGAAGAAATACTGAGAATTGGGAGCATTTGTACACCGGGGCCAGAACTAACCTCTGAAGCTCCAGTTCAATCATTATCCAACGAACTTGTTGTAAAGGAAAAGAAACTAGAGGATTATTCACCACCCCTGTCCGTTGTGGGCGTTAGTGTTCTGTAAGTTCTTGATGGTTTCATTCAAAATTATGCAATATGGGATGAACATTTTAGCTTCCGTAGTTCCTTAGGGATAAAGAAACAACACAATCTTCTCAGAACCCCTGTCATTTCAGAAAATGTATTCTGTTACTCACGTTTTAATCCGTGCACAAATTGAGGTTACTTCATCTATAAATGATAGAAGTTCTCCGGGGATTGTGCCAAACACATTGTGTAATATTTGCCCTTAACGCGTACACACGAGTAGCGGTTGTGCTGAAAAGCTAGAGGATTCTTTGCAGGGTAGCTTAGGTCAAAATATGTTTGATGTTGTTTCTTGCAGGAAGGGAATCATGATAGATGACATGTTAAAGGAGATAAGGAAAGCTTTAAGGGAGTGCATGGATTCCACTGAAGTATCATCGGCTTTGAATTGCCCTTGGAAATTGGGAAGTGATGTTTTGTCGAAACCGCATTGGTCGCAAATCTGGAAGTGACTACCACAGAGCAAGATGAAAAAATTGCAAATTGATTCTGGCGAACAGACCTCAAAGACTGAGGAAGCATTGCTTGTGGACCCAGATCCTCATCCGCGGATGGTTGGGAGCAACATGGCAGAGTAATTATTAGGAGCCATGAAAATGAATTGATGATACCTTTATAATAAACGGTGTTCTGTAATTACTGTGACATCCAAGTTAATATAGTGATCAGCTTGTTACTTCCGAGTTGTGGCTGTAAATATGCAAAACATGATGCCGTGATGGAAGCGTACATGGGTGCGCCCTTTTAATGTAATTCTGAACTTCTTGATCAATTGTGAGGACAACCAATGCCATTTATTGGGATCTACATCCATCTCACAGGCTACTGTTATTAATCTGTCTTCTGCTTTAATGTCTATTGCTTTTCAACTGACATCATTTTTTTTCAATTATCTGGAGACATAGAAGATGATAGTGAAACCACATGATGTCCGATTGTGGACGGACTAAAGAGAGTGGTCCTTTCATCTTCTATCACTCAATTTAGGCTAGCCTAGAGCATTTGGATGAAACTTAAATAACTGTTAAAAGACGGGTGAGGATGTAAATGGTTCAAGGTTGGAGTTTACATCTTCTCTGCACAAATATACCCATAAATAAAATGAGAGACATTATAAGCGGAACTACAAGAACTTGTGCACTTAGAGCCTACAATATATGTTGCAACTATGACTCGTTGATTACCTCTGATCCCTGTTTGGGAGATGTTGGAGCTGTTTCACATGTTTTGTCTACTATTAGGAGCGGTGTAAACGCGACACAAAAAATATGGTATGCAATCTATCTATATAAATAACAAAAAAGGGGTCGTCCATGCGTATGTTCGCCTTGTGTGTGTGTGTGTGTCATAGCGTGCTATCTATGTTGGTGTCTATCCAATCTCTCCTTGCCGTCCACCGATGCACGAAGTTTCTGGCTAAGAATTAGAGCTGTTCTGCATCGAGGACAAGGGGGATTTTGCCTTTGGAGCATGTTCCTGGAGGTTCTTTTATCAGTATATGCAAGGAGGTCAGAGAAAATATTGAGGACACTACATAATAATAGTAATGATAATGGAAATGAGAGGGAGGAACAAATACAGTGAACGTGCATAATAAGAGGGGTGGGGAAGTACATGCGCCGATCATTTTCGGTAAACTCACAGTTATGTCGCATGTGGTAGTGTGCGCCTGAGTCCATTGGATCTGGAATCCGCTCTTGCGCGCACAGAAGCCCAAGCCCTGCGATTCAACCACGTCCCACCCACTGCGTCCCTAATTGTCATGTGCGAGCTTTTGGAACCCCCGCACGTACTTATCTTCAACCGTTTCTTCCAAATCACACCGCTCCTCCGCTCGCTTAAATGCTCATTATCCACTTTTCGTTTTGGCCGAAATAAATCAATAAAAAAAAAAATTACTTCCATTATCCGAACAACCGCCTCCTCCCCCTCGCCCCTTTATTTTAACACCATCATCATCATCACGATTATTATTTGGCAAAAAAGATTTTTGGCCAGCTGAGCTCACACGAAAACAAAAGGGGTGGCCAAGTGTGTAATAGAGAAATCAACAATGAGGCTGTCAGTGGACACGATCTGACTGCTTCATCGTGCCAAGTAGCAACCCAAGCCCACCTCAGCTGAGGCCACGTTTCAGGTACTTGCGTACACTAGTCTCTGCTTTCACATTATCATCTCTCTTCCTCTGCCCGCTATATAAGCACTCGCCGTCGCCCGTGTGCTTCCCTTTAAAGCCGAGCGCTTATAATTCTACAGCTGCTCGCAAGCCCCACTCCTCTTCCGCGAGAATGCTGAAATCAGGGATGGGAATCGAGGAACGAAAGCAGGTGAAACGGCCTGCCCAGGCCAGCTCCAGAAAGGGCTGTATGCGTGGCAAGGGAGGCCCCGAGAACGCCAGCTGCACCTACAAAGGCGTTCGCCAGCGGACTTGGGGCAAATGGGTCGCCGAAATCCGCGAGCCCAATCGCGGTGCTCGTCTCTGGCTCGGCACTTTCGAGACCTCCCATGAAGCTGCTCTCGCCTACGACGCCGCTGCTCGCAAGCTCTACGGATCCGAGGCCAAGCTTAACCTCCCCGACCTCTCCCTCAATTCTCACCAGCCCGATCCGCCCCATTCCTCTGCTCCCTCCCTGCAGATTCCTCAAATGGTGCCCAATCACCGGCCTGTGCCGGATCATCAGCTGCTCCACCACCCGGCCGGCCATATTCCTCCCTGGTCTTTCAACGCCGTCCCCAACGATGCTCCGATGATCTCAGTGGCTTCTCAGCAAGTTGCACCGGTGTACAGCCCTAACTCTAGCTCCAGCTCCGGCTCCACCATGTCCGTTCCCTTCAGTGCCGGGGAGAGCGTGAAGGCCATTGAGAAGGAGGAGGATTTCGGTCAATTCTGGGGGACCGTCAACGGCCTTCCTGTCCCCGAGTTCGACGATTCCATCTGGGCCGAAGCTGCCATGTCTCTGGATTTTCCCGTGATGTCTGATGCGGGCATATATGCGACTGGCAATCTGGGAGATGTGGCTCCGTGGGACTCTCTGCAGACCCCCTGGTGCATGTGATCGCCCTTCGATCGCATTTACAGACTTCATCACTGTCTATACCATCACATACCGCCATATATACCAGCATGGTTCATACACACATATAGGACGCTCTGTAAATACATATACACATGATCACTCTAGCTAGCTACTCCTGGCTAGTTACAGCCTAGAAGCATCAGTATATGTATATGTCTTATATCTCAGTCCTCTCGGGGTCGCGACGCCGTGGTTATTTCTGCACGCCGCCGTTGGCCTTTTTTCTTATTATATATTTTTATCATATATATGTAAATAGGTTTTTTAGGTTCTCTTTCTTTTTCTTTCTTTAATATTGAGTCATGTAGTTACTTTTACTTCAAGGGGTTATATATATATATATATATATATGGGAGCTAGTCTAGTGTATGGAGAGATGGTGATGAAGAAGACGGGTTCGTGGTTGTATCAGTTATATAAATCAGTCACGTGCCTTGGCCGTGTGGGCCCTTTTCTATCTATATATAATATATATTATATGTGTTCTGTGTTTCGTAAGTGAACAAGAATGCGTACATGCACTTATGAAATCAGGTTCGTCTTGTGCTGCGGAGTGCGGATGATGCTCTAATGTATTTTGAGCAGCCATGGCTTGTTTTATTTTTATTTTCCGATGTTAAAGATTCCGTCGTACATGTGTGAGATTCTAAGCCACCATTTCAAGTCAGAAGATTCTTTTTTTGTTTCGGCTTTTGATCTCGATCGAGTCGGGCCTTTTGTTTGTTTCGGGAAAAAGATAATAATAAACGAAAACGTTTATCGATCTTTCGCATCACAATTTGGTTTCGGAAATGCTAATGCACAGGAGAGGCGCGTCCAGTTAATTCTGATGTGAATTGAATTGGTGAGCGAGCTTTAAAAATAAAAATAAATATATAAAATTTGATCCTTACACTTTATGTTTTGTTCTAAATCTTTGTATTTTTTTTATATTTTAAATTCTTACATTTTTATTTTTTAATATTTTAAATTCTTTAAGATGTTTAAATTTTATTTATTTAGGGACCTAAAATATTAAAAAAATAAAAGTATAAAAATTTAATTAAAATATAAAAAAAGTGTAAAGACATAAATTACAAAAATTAAAAGTTATGTTTTTTCGAAAATAAATATGAATATGAATGTAATAAATGAGAAATCTGCCGCTGAAATTAATTAAATACAAATGTAATGAATGAATTTCCAGCAGAGCCGCAGAAGGACGTAGGTTATTATTTTGGTGAAAATTTGAAGAAAAGGACAGCGGAAGGCTCGTAATGATGGAAGGCATGTTCAATGTACATTGGGTTGGGACGTACGTCACCATTTTTTAAAATACGCACACAAACACTGTTCAGAAAACCGCCTGTTTGTCTTCGTCCCCGCTCTTAGAACCTTGTTCGATTTTTTCTATCTTTAGTGCTTCTCTAGTTCTCTTGCTTATAGTTCACATTCCACACTCTTGCAGTTACACTGTTAAATAATCTGTGTTGGAGGAATCACATTTCCGTCCGAAATTTCCCCAATATTTATTTTGACGCCTATATATTGTCATTTTAAATAATATTCTATTCTCAAAGTTCCCACCATATAAATTCTTCTAATTCAAATCAAATTTGTTGACAAAAATAGTTAAGATGTAAATCCCCTTATTAATGTAAAGACTTTATTAGTAAACGTTTTGTAAGTATCTTTGTAATCACATTTTAAGTCTAGAGGCATGCTCTTGTCCTCATTTTTTATGATCCAACTCATTTAAATTTTTGATTATAAAAAAAAGTTAAGATGCACCGACTTCATTCAGTTTTAATACATCAACTATAAAGTTTGACGTGATATAAACGCTACTCCAAACCTGCACTTCATATATTGAAAATTGAGCACGACACGTAACCTCAAAAGATTATATGATTATCTTAAATGTCGCAAATGAATTGATTATTTTAAAAGTATTTAATCAAATATTTAATTTATTTATGTAATTAATGAATATAGATGGTTTTAAATTAAAGCATTGAATCTAATATTTAATTTATTTATGAGTTTTTGTGATAAATTCTATATAGTTTTTTTTTTACCAAAATAAATTCTATATAGTTGAATAAGCTACACACATTTGTTTTATTTTATCCATTATATAATCTCTTATTGACAGTCCATATCAATTTTTCATCGTGTAAGCTCTTTTAATTCCATCAAATATAAGTTGAAGTATTGATAGTTTGAAAAATTTTATCAAATCATTTGACATGCTAACAGAATATATGTGTGTAAGTCAACGTGACGTGCCTACCGGTATTCAATTTATAATAGATAAACTATTCTCTACAAATTATAGTTTAAATCTCCATTAATTAAGTTGAATGAACCTTAACACATTGTTATAACTATATTGGAGGCTTCTTTTATGACACTTTACCTCAAATTTTGGTCACACAAACTCTTTTAACTCCAATGTATCTGAAGTCATTTAACAAGACATTTTAATGATGTAAGAAATTAAGCAGTCGAAGGCTGTAAGCCGCCCGGTGATTTTCTCATTTGATGTTTGTTAAAAGAAACAACGCTAAACGAGGTTTTTTGTGATTGTCCCATTATCCCAGTAACATTTAATCGAACATTTGTGAGGATTGTACTCCAAGGTGATAAATTCTATGTGGAGCGGAATAAATGTTTTGTGCGTTTTATTGTTGTGCTAGTCAAATGGGTTTTAATCAATTTGACAATATAAATAATCAACCATTTGAATGAGTACTCGTATATTCTTGTTCCATGCAATCAAACAACTTTATACATGATCAGTCTAAAATCTGAGTCATAAACAATTTTTCTTTTTAAAAAAATCCCCATGTCTTTTTATCCCCGCCTCGATACGTTGCCTCAAAAACATGTGAGATCTGATTTGATTATATTCGATTCCCTAAAATAAAATTATCAAAAAATTTTTGTAGCTATATATATCGTCGAAAACAATTCGTTACATATAGGAAGTCCAACTCGCATGGCAAGGCACATATAAAAGCGAATCTCTCTCACTTACTGCTCTAGTACAGCAGTACCTATAAATGCAAGACTCCTTTTAAAATGTGCTTTTATTTTAATTATCACCTTATGTATTAGTGGATATCGAGCATTAACTATTTTTTTTTCCGTTATACATGTCTCTTGGGCGTTGAAGAGGTGCCCACATCATCAACAAGGGTAACCTTTTAAATTGGTTTAATTTTTCTGACTATTTTTTTTTTAGTATATGCAAGGTAACTAAAATAATTAACTTGTACAAAGTGTGAATTAGTGTGTTGAACTAGTCAAATGGGCCCAATTAATTCAAAACTTAGATCGATTAGACATCTCTCTCACACCAAATATCTAGTGAAGCCTTATCACACCAGTTGCTCAATTAGTTATATTGAAGAAATTCCTCGTTTCTTTAAATCACTTGAAAATTTTATCTAAAATACTTTCGATATTGATAAAACGCTTAAACATATAAAAGAAATTGAATTAAATGAATATGATCGGTGCAAAACATAAAAGTCTTCGAACATGTCTCTTATAAATGAATTCCCTCTGTTCTTTTTTCACCTTTGTATATTTTTCGACATTTTAATTTACCCCATCGATCATATAAAATCTTTTAATTTTATTTTTTAAAAATATCTAAGGCATTTTAGATATTCACAAAACACCTTAGTTTATACTTTATACAAGAGATGGAGCAAGGTGCACAAGTCGAAAAGCTTCTTCTTCACTCGAAAGGCCAGGCCTAGACAAGGAGGACAAGAGCCCAGAAAAAACAGATTACTTTTGAAAATGGACCCATGCAAAACAAAACCAAATGTGAACCAGCGCAACTCGCTTTTTCCTTGTTGGATCCGAGCCCCTTTTTTATTATATATTATAATTATAATATATAATAATACTGTTATGAAATTTAAGCGTATTTATAATTTGGAGAAATAATACAATTTTCAGCGATCATCAATTCATCATAACTAGAAATTTAGCTATTAATTTATGCGCGATATACGTGAAAATAATATAATCTTTTATATGATCGAAGTAAAGAGAAAAATCAAATAAGGACATTTACATCCATTGACGAGAAATAATATTATATATATATATATATATATATATATATATTGTTTTTATGAAAAAAGCTTTCTCCGAATAATGAACTAACACGCACAAAATCATCCATCCATCGACAAGTAGGGTTGATAGATATAAAAGAGGGGTTAGTAACAAATGCTGCTAGACTGCAGGATGAACTTGCATAGCGCTGATTTTCAACGTGACGCTTTTATAAAATTTCGCTTGTTTCGTGCGCCGGGAGAATTTGTATGGAGCGTTTTTTAAGTCCCATCCTCCCGACATTGCTCTGTTCTAATTTGCCTTGACACTTTAGCGTTTGAATTTTTCATGGAATAGACTATTCTCCAGTTCTATTATTATTTTTGAGGAGTGAAAGAAGTTTATAGAGAGAGAGAGAGAGAGAGAGAGAGAGAGAGAGAGATGATGATGATGAGCTGTAAAAGACTCGAAGGGATATGCAGAGAGTTATGTCGTCAAATAATTAAAGACAGATATTTCGAGGCATCAAGTTGCAATGGCTAGAGAAGAATGATGAAGAAGGATAAAAGGTAAAAAAGAAGCATGGATGGACGGATGAAGCTAATTGAGGATTAATGCATGGCCTTTAATGATGATATGATATCGGGACGTGTTAATTGAATCATAATAATAAAAGCAGCAGCAGCAACACTTGATTAAATGTAATTGGCAACTTGCGGGCGTCGTTATCAGAAATAGGGAAGGGACGTGGATGGCGGGTTTGATGGAGCCGAGGGAGCAACGACGCACATGGACAGTGCAGGGCTGATTCTGCCATCTCACATCAAACTGACCCAAAACAAATTAGCAGTTGCACTTCCACATATATATTATCGCCCGGAATATTAATTTAAAACGTCAAGCGTGTGACTAAATTTGCTTGAAATTCGTGCTAAATCACGCACGGTTCATCCTTTATCAAAACATGTCTTTGAATTGTTGATAGTTAAACATCTTGTTAGGGGATCATTTGTAAGCACTGTTCAATTAACCAACTTCCAGGGGCAGTGTATAACTACCTCTGATGTTTTTTCAATGTGTTATTTTCCTCTGACATTATATGTTCCATTTATTGCCAAATGCTCCTTTATTAGTTTTTTAAATTAAGATAACATTGCAGTTAAGCATGCCGTTAGATGTTCTTCTTTTTAAAAGCCAATTTATTCAATTGTCCTTCTTGATCTATTACAAATAAAATAACAGGCCTTATTTCAGAAATTAATATCAACTAGTAATTTATTTTTGTCTTTCATATAAAAAAAAGAAAAGAAAAGAAAAGAAAGAAGGTTGAATTATATCTTTAATTGTTTAACTTTACCTAATGTTTCATTTTGATTCCTTAATTTTATAAAATATATTTTTAATCTTTTAATAATTAGTTTCACTGCCAAAAAAAAACATTCATTGAACTTTTAAATATTATTGATAAAACATGCTCAAATGTTAACATATTAAATTAATTTTTTTTAAAAATAATAATTATTGAGATAAAAATAATCTCATTTAAAAATGAACTTGTTTGAAGTTAGAGGATTGAAAGAAGATTTTATTAAATTAAAATTTTATATAAAATTAAAATAAAAAAAATGCACATCAAATAAGAAAGAAAGAGTAGGCGCTGATCACTGACCTGAAGTGATTCCCAATCAAGCTGCCTATCGTGTTTGGCCATCTTTACAAAACTGAGACCCTCGGTTGGCTCTTAATTTAGGTTGGATATGGCACGAATTGGAAAGATGTTTTGATTTTTCGATGGCATTTTAGTCTTCTGAAGCTCATTGATAATTCCAAGAACGAGTCTCCAATATAGTTTTCCAGTTTGCTCGTGGGTCACTGGAATGACTACTTGTTTGACTCCTAGGATTCCCCTCCTATCACTGATGAAATGGAAAGTGGTGAGTGCAGAATAAACCCCACACATTGGCGCAAGAAATTCCCTTCCCACATGAGCAGTGAAGATCCGCCCCGCCCAACAATTTATATATTTGCCCCCAATGGTCTCCGTTGTACTCTATCAACAATTTAAGAATTTTTAAATAAAAGTTTATATATTAATAAATTTCATTAAATATATTTAATAACTATTTTTTTAAAAAAATATAAACTTTTAAAAATATCTTTTATTTAATTTAACTTACTAATATTAAATTTACACTTAAATTAACATTAAATAGAGAGAAAAATAATAATATTGAAACAAGTTTATTTAATAAAATTTTAATTTTTTAAAATTGCCTTATATTTTAAAATGATAAATTTTTTTTAAAAACATCTAATAATTTGGGGTGGAAGGAGTATTAATTATCACTGCCTTCACACAGTACCGCATTTAATTAACCCAGCAGTTTTCGTAAATCAAGCCACAAATTAACACACGATTAAAAAAGCTTGAGGGGGATTTGATTAGGTGATTTTATGCATATTGTGTGCCCCACTCGAGTGACATCAATTATATTCAATCATGTTACCTAAAGGTTCAACAACAAAATCATCTGCATTAATAACCAAAAGGAAACATATTCGTAGGCAAGCAAGTTCCCTTAATACACGAGCAAGCTTAGCTTCCCGACACAGGGAAGTAGTTTTACTACTATCCACCCTTCTTCTTCTTCTTCTTCTTCTTTTTCTTCCTCTTTTCTTTTTTCTTTCCCCATATTAAAGCTATTAAATTGAGACTGCAGTTAAAAGTCAGGGCAGTCTGGGGCTCAGACATTATCCGTAGACGAAGGAAGAAGTGGCTGAGTGAGGGAGGTCTTGGAGTGGCTTGCCGGCCTGGCGGTGCCGCCGTGCTCTGCCGAGGACGCGTTCGCGAGAAGTTCCTTCGCGAACTTCTTTTCTTCGCTTTTACCCCACAGCACCAAGTATAATCCCGCTACGATCATTATGGCCCCTATGATCCTGTAACAGCAAAGGATTAAAATTAAAATAATTAAGTAAAATGAGCAGAAAAGAAACACGACATGCAGATGTAGATTGTGCATCCCCTCCAAAATCTTTAATTATTAATGTGCCTTGTCCTTTTCATTTAAAGGTTTAGCATTAGCCTTTAACACTCCGAAATCATTGAAGGCTGTTTCATCGTGAAGCCCTTCTCAGTTCTCGCCGAAAGTTCCCTAGCTGTGCCTACTTGTCGTCCAAGAGATTTCATTTGTCGTTGTTGCAAGAATTCTTAAAGTTCCAACAACCAAAATTACCCCTCGTAGCTGAACGATAAGTGGATTAAAAAAAAAAAAAGATGAAAATATAGAAAGTCAAAGCTGTGCAGAGAAAATTAAAGGGAAAGTGCGGGGATGGTGGAGATTGAAGAATAAAGTAGAAAATTAGATGAAAGGGAGGAAGACAAACCCGCCCAAGTAGAACTCTTCGCCTAAAGCGACGGAAGCCATGATAGCGACAACGAGAGTTTGAACCGGTTGATACACTGCTACGAACACAGGGCCACCCCTGTCAATGCACCATATCTGTACAGCGAAGGCTATTCCTGATGCCACCACTCCCTAGATTATATGTATACACACACTTCATTTCTTATTTCACCCTTACAATCCACACACACCGCTATATATATGTGTGTGTGTGTGTGTATCCAAAACATCATAAATATTATTGTATAAATGTTGAATACTCACACACACCAATTCGAGAGCCTACTATCATGCATAAATTTTTTTAAAAAAGCTAGTGACCGGCTTTGTTCCCGACGAGCACGAGCTGTGAAAGATTAGCATGTATATACTGAATTAATTACTAACCGCGTATACGATTGTGAAAACTTCTCCGCCAGAGTGAAAAACCCAAGCCTGCGAGTCTCTCTCGAAGATGAGGGCAATAACCAGAAACTGGATGAGTCCAAAGAAACAAGTGAAAGATGTGACGGAAAGGCGAGCGGGGTACTTCTTGAGAACTGGTGCTTGCAAGACTAGCCAGCCAGACCAGGACAAGCAGTGTCCGATGAGGAAGATGCAGCCGAGGGTCCAGTTTTTTGCCTTTGCATCCCCGAGCGAGGGAAATAGGGGCTTGAATGCGGACGTGGAGGTACTGTGCAGCGGGGGAGACGGGCTGTATATGGTAGGACCCTTGTATAGGGTAATCACGGTGGCACCGACAACACAGAACAAGGTTCCGATCACCTTGGCCACCCCATCTTTTCGGTTAAGCCTCACCTGCTCTATCCTGAAGAAAGTAACGTACACGTCTAATTGTTAAGGTTCACATTTATGCGATCCTTTCAGACTCCAATGAACAAGGTCAAGGAATCAGAGCTTGCCTCAGTACGGCTGCCATCAGAAAAGTGATGGCCGGGACAGAGTTCTGTATAGCCGATGCAAAGGTTGGCGACGTGTTGTCCAACCCAAGCAAGTAGAACCCTTGGTTGGCTGTAATCCTGTGTAACCAAAATTATATTTCCATACTTTAACAACCTTTATTTAACTGGCTTGATTATTATTATTTTTAATGTACTGGGAGGATTTATACCCGACGAGAGCCAGAAGAAAAAACTGTAGGAGAAAGTTAAGGGTAAGCCCAGGCCTATCCTTCCTGAACAAAAGAGGAAGTCATTAATATTGCTAACAGACCAGTGTATCTATAGTTGGAAATATAACACACACAAAGAGATATAAAGTATAAACTATAGATAGGTGGGCAGTGAGGTAAAGAGAGCGAGGTACTGACTTTTCCATGAAGTAAGCGAAGGGAAGAAGGAGAAGCAGAGCAATGATGTTGCGGTAGACAGGGAAAACAAGCTTGCTAATGCCCATGTTAAGGGCAGCTCTGGAGACGACATGGAAGCCGGCGTAACCGAACTGCAAGGCCAACATGGCGGCGTGCAGTTGGAGACGCTCCGGGACTGAGCACCACATTCTGCGGGGGGCGGCGGAGGCCGATTCAGCCATGGTAACACAGGGCGAAAGGAAAGATAACGAAGAAGAAGCAGTTGAAGAGATGATAAGGAGAAGGAGCGAAGAGGAGGGATATAAATATAGAAGAATCCCACAGGGAGTCTAAAAAGACGTAATGTCAACTGTTGGTAGCCTTCAAAAGTTTCTGGTTGTCTCCCACATTCTGCGTTATTGACAGCACAATAACCCCCCACCGCACTTGGGTTACATACATTCTGAAAGTGAATGGAAATATCACATGTAAGATATACGACATGTAGCTGGTGGGCATAGGATTATTGAAGGTAGAACTGGAGACTGGAGAGCGCGTGGGGGACGAGGCAAACGGAACAGCTTGTGGCTTGGAAGCATGCCTTTTATGATGAAAATTTGAGAAGCAAAGGGCCGAGCCGCCATCCATAGATAGCGCGCACGAGGGGTGATGGTGGGTCTTCCCTCCACCAAAACCTCTACCCCACCCTCCCTCCAACCCCTTCCTTTTATTTATTAAAATACTCTCTCACTCAACATGGCCATGCATCTAGACTCCACTCTGTATTCTGTACTCTGTACAACTACAAACTAGTGTGCCTTTGTTTAGTAGCCTTTTTATTTTTTATTTTTTGGGTCAATTTCTTTTTCAAAAAATTGACTTCATGATATATTCCATCCCAATCGTAGAAAAAATTGATACTAGTTCTTTTTCATAAGTCACGTATAAATATATATTATTTTTTTAAATCTACCATTTCATTTTTTCGAGTTATTAGGTGAACAATGTAGAAGATTATATTTGAGAAAAATATTTTTAAAAATAATATGTTTAATAAAAAAAATTAAAAAATTCTCAATTTGCAAAAGATATCCATTACTTAGCTAACTTTACTTAGTGCGTGTTTAATTAGTTTTCTATTGGTCAAAAATTAGTTTATTAAAAGTTTATTTAACAAAAGTTAATTCAGTAAAAATCAGTTGTTGTAACAAAATTTATATTTAAATATATTTTTTAAAAAATTAATTTGAATATACAATTATTAAAAAGAATATTGATTTTTATGATTTGTAATTTTTGTTGCAAACATGTTTCATATTAAAATTTAATCATACATTGAAAAAGTTAATAAAATGTTCTCTTGAATATACAATTATCAAAATGTTTCATATATGTTTATAAAAATATGATATTTTATATATTGGAAAAAATTTATATTAATGTACATTAATACTAATTAAAAAATAATATGATTGGTTGTAATTTAAAAGAAAAATTAACATGATTAAATGTTTAATTTAAAAATTAACAATAATACTATGTTGTGATGGAGCTCCTGATCATGGCCTCATGATATAATGACACATAGAAGAGGAGAGGCAGACCAAAAAAAAGGAGCAGAGGTAGAAGGGTAGCAAGGTAAAATAAAAAACTGGGTATACATTTTAACTCTCTTATCTATTAACTCATGTTAAATGTAAGTTCCAAAAGCTACAAATAATGACGTTTTCAAAATCCACGTTCAATTATATTTGAGATGTACTTTGAAGACGTACATTCACTTTACGTTGTTAACCCAAACGGAACCTTAGTTTGGGTGAGGTTTTTAGATGTGGAAAGGAGTGACACTCGTTTATTTGTTGATGGATTTATTACCCGCGCGGGAAATCGCCAAGGAGGACCTTACATGGATTGTGGGGCTTCCTGTTAGGAATGTAGTATGGAGAAATTTTAAGGTAAACTCAATGCGCTGCCTCATTTGTGCACTGACGAATTAAAATATGACAACTCGCAGAATTTTAATCTGAGCTGGCACTTGTTTGGCTTTATATTTATTTTATTTAATTTATATTGTTAAATTATTTTATCCCCTTTTTTATTCATAGTTCTTTCTTCTTCACAAAAGCTCCAGCCGCTAGCACCCTTCTTCGCCTGTGGTTGTCCGCCGCTGGACAAACTCATCCTCTACTTCTTTTAACTTGTCATGTTCCAGTACTTCCATAACCCCCTTATCTGCTGTTGGCGGGTTCTTGGAATTGGTTTTTGATATTTGCCTTTTCATTGTACTCTACAGCAACAACCAGGAGTGGTGAACATCCGGCGACTATTGCTGTTCGGAATGGCTCCATCACATCTCCATTTTTTGGTTTGGGCATCTGGGCGGTCAGGCGGACTTGCGATTCTGAATCAGGTGGAGGTCGCAAAGTTGCGGTTCAAGAGGAGAAGCTGCAGACAACCTAAGCGAGTCGTGAAATGGGAGACTAAGGGAGCAGTAAATATATCCCCACACTAAGTGAACAGGGCAATAGGAAGCCAAACACTATTTTTCAGCGGAAAGGGTGTTGGCAGCTGGGGTTCCTGGGTAGAAGACGATGAATGAAAAAAGGATTCAAATAATTCATGTAATATAAATTAAATAAATGAAGTATAAATCAAATTGTAAGTGCCATTGCAGATTAAAATTTTCCGAGGTGTTGTCTTTTGGCTGGTCAGTGTACAAATGAGATAACGCAATAGATCTGTGTAAAAATTTATCGTGTAGTACTGCGCATATTAAATTATATACGTACACAAATGCATTATACGCACATGCATCATAAAGAAAGACATATATGTAGAATAGAAAGCGCGAGACCACATTCGCCAATTTTGATTTTGAATATCCACGTACAATTTCACGCGAATAATTAGGCTAGCGCTGCTCTGGCTAAAAGCATCGACCTTAGTTCTCAGGCAGGCGAATCCTCGTAAACCCTATCCTGTATGATGGATATATAAAATCTTGTTAACGAGAATCTCTTTAATATTAGCACGAAGATCCTCCGTCACGTGGAAATTAAATGAAAAACTAGCCAGAGAAGTATTTCAATCTGTTCCCTATATAAAAATAAAACAAAATTATATAAAAAATGCAGCTACATGTTGAATACAATGTTGTATAAATATATATATATATATATATATATATAAAGTGGTGATGATAATTAATTGACGCAGAAGTGTAGTTAGGAGCAGATTGGGGGACAAAGTAGTGGAGTATGGGCAGGTGATTAAAGAAAAGAAACGAATCAAGTCCAGTGAGGTTGACAGTGATGCTGATACGGGGCCCCTGGCTTTAGCAGACATGCTGCCCCCCATCCATGGAGACCGCCATCATTCTAAAATATAAAAAACTCCAAAGCAGAGAAGAATAGAATAAACTGCACTTTTGAAACTCCTCCTTATCTGACACCCCTTGCTTTATCATATGGCCTTGCGAGACAAAAGCCATAGCCACACTACCTCTTGGTCTGACCGGCCTGCGTGAACCGGAGGTCTCACACCTCACTGACCAACCCAGTTGCACTCTTAATTGCGTTTTCACATCTCTCACCCTCTTTTGGGTCGCATGAGTACCCTCCTGACAGCTATTTCTAGATTTTGTATGTGTGTCTCTCTCTCATCCATCTGATCTGTTTCCCCACCCCTCCTTTCTCTTCTTTTGACTCCTTTCTTCCCCTCTCTCTCTCTCTCTCTCTGCTTGCTCCTCCATGTGAACGTGACGAACACAAATCTAAAGGAAGAACCCACCAAAAAATTAGTTAGGGAGAGTTTTTTGAACTTATAAACCTCATATCATTTACGAGGCATCCAGACATGTGACTTGTGACAATGTTATCTCGTCAAGAGTCGACATTCCTAACGATTTTACTCCATGGCACTTTATTCGACTTTTTATAACCCTTTTTCGTGACATCAATCTCTCAATAAAAGTATCAATGTGATGAGTAGTACAAATTCAAAAGGAGAGCTCATCTTAAAAAATTAACCTATTAAAAAGGAGAGCCCCTTGAATTTATAAACCTCACACTATTTGTGAAACTCCCTAATGTGAGACTCGTAATAGTGGATTCCTGTTTAATTCATTTTTTCACTTCATCTGCATTTTCCACTTTTTAAAAATTGATAGCATCATATACTTGGTCGAGGTTTTTTTTTTTTTGACCAAAAAATAAACTTGGTCGATTTAAAAGCTTCTTTGAAATCTGAAGACACTCATACTGACCATTCTGAACCGCTAGCTGCGGCTGAATATGCTGATACCCGGCCCAAAGGCGTCCCGAACATAGAGGGCAAGATGAATAAAGATAATCAGTTTTTGTTTGCTTTGCTTTTGTATTGTATATTTTCTGGCCAAGCGCGGATACAGTGAATCCAACATTTATTTGCATATTACGGAATATACCCTTGTTTAACGTATTGTTTCTTTTTGATTCAATTTCCAGTTCTTTTTCCCCTGTAAATATTACAATAATTACCGGAATAAAGAGTGCATCTAGATGTAGTTGCAAGGATCCATCGATAGAGTGAGACAGGCACCAACATTCCATGTGCACGGCACAGAGCACACGTGGAAGATGAACAGCGAGGTTGTGGTCCGAATTCGCACTAGGGTGGGATTCTGTGTATCCTGTAGGCCAAGGCCAACACCAGGGTTGGTCCTTGCATGATTAGAAGCTAAGCTATCTTTTCGCCGGCTAGAAAATCATGATTTTTTTCCTCCCACGGTTAATCGAGCGCTTAATACTGATTTTGATGCCTGTCTATAAAGCACCTTGTCGTTGATGGTGAGTACAGGGCTTAATTAACCCCTAAGGATGTCTCTGTATAATTTGGCGTGAATTAATCGTCATCCATACCTGTTGAGTTTCAATTTTGTCAATGAATGCCAGTCATAATTATGGAAAGCTGATTCAACCTTTAAATGAAAAGAAGTGGAGTATTTAAGACGTGCTCACAATAACACGCTGTTAAGCAATAAAAATTGTAGTAGTATGCTTGTTATACGTTTATATATTAAAAATTAAAAAATATTTAAAAAATAGCTGCGACGGACTTGATAAATATAAATTTTACATAATTAAATTTTGTCTCTGTTAACGTACTTCTATATAACTGAAAAATTAAAATTGGTATGTTCATGATGCACCGCATGCATGGGGTACATTTTAAAGCAAGTCATTGTCACGTAATTATAATGTCATATATGGTGGTCAGTCCAATACACAGCTCTTAAGCCACGATGATAAAATGTATGTTTAGTTTTACAAGCACTAAACTTATTAACACGAAACCAAACATGTTGAAAAATATTTTGACAAATTTTCAATGTGAAACCAAACATAATTTAACATGTTAGAAATGGAAATTGAAGGATGGAAAAT